ATGAAGATTGGGGAAGGGCAAAGAAGACCGCAGACGGAGTACAGTCTAGGGGGCCAGAGACTACAAACCTCACTCAATGAAAAGGATCTTGGGGTCACTATAACACCAGGCACATCTCCTGAGGCGCACATTAACCAAATAACTGCTGCAGCATATGGGGGCCAAGCAAACCTAAGAATAGCGTTCTGACATCTCGATAAGGGATCGTTCAGGACCCTGTACACCGTGTATGTCAGGCCTATATTGTATGCAATACCGGTCTGGAACCCACACCTGATCAAGCACGTCAAGAAATTAGAGAAAATGCAAAGGTTTGCAATAAGACTAGTCCCGGAGCTAAGGGGCATGCCCTACGAGGTTAAGGGAAATCGACCTGACGACACTGGAGGGCAGGAGAGATAGGGGGGACATGATAACGATATATAAAATACTGAGAGGAATTGACAAAGTGGACAAAGAAGGATGTTCCTGAGATGGGACACAGCAACAAGAGGTAACAATTGGAAGTTGAAGACTCAGATGAATCAAAGGGATGTTAGAAACACAGAATTGTCAGGAGGTGGAATAGTCTGGGAATGATGTAGTGGAGGCAGCATCCATACACAGCTTTAAGAAGAGGTATGATAAAGCTCATGGAGCAGGAAGAGTGACCTAGTAGCGACCAATAGAGGCGGGACCAGGAGCTGTGACTCGACCCCTGCAACCACAACTAGGTGAGTGAGTACATGTATACAAACACGCACACAAAAAGCCTTGAAAAAACAAATAAAGATTTCTTAGTATCTTCAGCAGGACAACCAAGAGACAACACATGTAAATTCAGAAAAAAAAGAGTGGAATTGGAAGGAGAGAAGAGATTTTCACAATGTTGGAACAATAAACTGGATTAAAAGAGAAGGTAGCATATACTAAAACAACTGAAAATTAAAAACAAATATATAATAATTACCGAAGAGATAACACAGCACAGCTCTGCTACTGAAGCTACAAATAAGTAATTAAACAGTGGACAAAACACGCACGTGTTGTCCTTGTCACGAAACAACGACAACCCCACGAAACAACAACCCCACGAAACAACAACCCCACGAAACAACAACCTCACGAAACAACATCACGAAACAACGACAACATCACGAAACGACAACTTCATAAAACAAAGACAACTCCCATGAAACCACCTCACGAAACGACAACAACCTCATGGAAAAACAACCTTACAGAACGATAATAACCTCACGAAACGACAACAACCTCACGAAACAACGACAACCTCACGAAACAACGACAACAACCTCACGAAACAACGACAACTTCACGAAACAACTACAACTTCACGAAACAAAGACAACCCCCATGAAACCACCTCACGAAACGACAATAACCTCATGGAAAAACAACCTTACGGAACAACGACAAAAACCTCACGAAACAACGACAACAACCTCACGAAACAACGACAACTTCACGAAACAAAGACAACCCCATGAAACCACCTCACGAAACGACAACAACCTCATGGAAAAACAACTTACGGAACAACGATAATAACCTCACGAAACAACGAAAACAACCTCACGAAACAACGACAACAATCTCACGAAACAACGACAACACCTTCACGGAACGACAACCTCACGAAACCCCCCAAAACAATCACAACCCCACAAAACAACGACAACCCCACGAAGCGACAACTCCACAAAACAACCCTCAAAACAACGACAACTCCACCAGGTTACTAACTAATCCTCCTCACAAGACAGAAGGATAATCTCAGCTTCGTGTTATCTTTTGCACACGATTTTAAATTAAGCTCAAACGTTGCTTTAATACAAGTAAATTGAAACCTTAAAAACATTTATTTTGAAAGATTTCAAGTGGACAAGGAAAAATGAGCCTTAACTCTAGAAAAATATGCTTCTAACATATATCCTTCCCCCGTGACACCACGGTAGTCTTACCCAGTCAGGACAAATATTGAAAAACAGAATCGATCTAATCAGAATTTGTTGATGATATCTGAGAACACACAAAGTAACACTCATGGAAGTGAATATAAACATTATCATAATTCTACTTCACCAGCCACACCCGTGAATACCTTACTTAAGGTTAATGTTGAATACCTCACTTAATGCAGCACCACAACTCAGCCATACTAGTATAATTTCACACTCCCCTCCTTCAACTCTGGTCAACAACTGTAGCTCTCGTATTTCTTTAATAAGTATTATAACACTCAATGAGAAGGGATAATACAAAGCCTAGGGCATGAGAGGCAAATGGGGCTGATCGAAGGGAGGGAGGGGATCACTCCCCTTGAGGGACCCTGAAGAGGGAGACGAGGAAAAATATTATTATTATTATTATTATTATTGTTATTATTATTATTATTATTATTATTATTATTATTATTATTATTATTATTGTTGTTGTGTCTAAGTGTAACATCTAGAATCTGGTGAGTGTCAAGCTGACACCAGCTCCCAACACCTTCCCCGCTATAAAAAAATGATTATCTTTTGAGATGATGGCATCAGGTGAGCATGTGAGTGACACCTTGGCCCTGGCACTATTGCGTCACACTGCTGCAACGCCTACACCTCGACATAAATACTTCATCTACCATAAGAGTATTCAGGATAGAACCACACCTTCGGACCAGAACCACACCTTCAGACTAGAATCACACCTTCAGACAAGAACCACACCTTCAGACTAGAACCACACCTTCAGGCTAGAACTACACCTTCAGACTAGAACCACATTTTGAGGCAAGAACCACATTTTGAGGCAAGAACCACACTTTCAAGCTGAAAGCACACCTCATGTGTTGTCAGCCTGAGGGTGAATACATCAAAGACGTATTACAATTACGTGACATGTACGTTATGTTACAACAGTCACTACCTACCACTGCTACCTTAAAAAATACCTTAGTTACACATTAATTAAGCACCCACCACACTCTTGAGAATCACCTGCCTATACAGTATGTAATCCACTACTATCCACTGCGAAAATCAACACAATTACTCCGCAAGAGTTAGCTGTTATATCGGTATTTGTTTCCGTAATCTTGCAACACTCACTGCTCAGCAAGGTGTTGATGTTAAGTTTATAGCTATGACCTACAATGTACAACATTAAGAAAGTTAAGACACGTGCAACATCTGGATATCTTCATTGTAGACGTTTCGCCATCCAGTGGCTTTATCAATACATATTCTAGGACATAATAGGAAGACAGTAGAACTATATACAAAAGATGAGGTAATCAGTCCCTCGGCCTTGGAGTTAGTGTTCACAGCATCGTGGTGGAGGAGAATCTGGAGCAAAGGCAAGAAGACTGGCGGTTATATAGGCGTCAGTGGAAGGCCTATATAACCGCCAGTCTTCTTGCCTTTGCTCCAGATTCTCCTCCACCACGATGCTGTGAACACTAACTCCAAGGCCGAGGGACTGATTACCTCATCTTTTGTATATAGTTTCACTGTCTTCCTATTATGTCCTAGAATCTGTATTGATAAAGCCACTGGATGGCGAAACGTCTACAATAAAGATATCCAGATGTTGCACATGTGTCTTAACTTTCATATTGTCGGTATTTTATACCTTTCTTGCACAATGTACAACATTGTACAGGTCGTCATTTTTCTGCGAAATTCTCGTTTTCCTCACTAGTCCACCGAGGTATATTTCTATATATTAGGACATATAAAGGTCAAATATTGCTTATAATAAATCGTGCTTATTTTCAGATTTACGCCAAAAAAAATATTGCTGCACGGCTTTTATGTTCATAAAGTCAGATTCGTAGTAAGAAGCAATCAGAATCATGGTAAGGAGCAATCAAGCGTGGTTCAAAATGACCAGAAGCTGATAAAACCATGATAAATAAGAATATTGTTGCCCAAAAAGACTTATTAGCCGAAGTAACAACTTAACGAACTCTCCTGCATCTACTGTACGGGTATACGCAACATAAAAAAAAAAAAAAGAACACGCAAGAAAACAATAGCTTCAATCCAAGCCAGACCCAGGTGCGTAAGGTTTGCCAACAGACAGAGGTACTGTCCCTGTGGGCACTCACTGACAGTAGTCTCAGCAGCAGCCCGTTAACTCAGGCACTCAGCAGTACCGTGTTGTATTACCAGGAATACCTGAGAAAATAACTTACCTTGACTCAGCACACTCTCGCAGCATATTTCTCAGGAAATTCCCAGTAACACCACAAAACCTCATGGCATGTGTGAACTACGCCCTCAGTTGCTGGGTCTAGCTAGGATAGTGGCTCACACTCGCTCCTCTCCTCTGCCTTCCGCCATAACACAAATTATTCCATCTCTTGGAATTTTTGACTACAGAATGATCTAAATCACATGCCTGAAATATCATTAATTTACTTTGTATATTTGCTTGAACATTATGATTGTGGCGGCAGGACACCCTTAATAACAGGACTGCACGTGAGCAAGGTTGTACCTAGTTCACTTAAGCTGAAGATAAAACATGTTGCGGAACAAGCTTTTATTGGGGCAAATTTCTCGTCGAGCTTCATGTCATGCCATAGAGCGAAAAGTTTACTCAGATCAAAGCTTATTGTACAGCATGTTTCCTTCACTCTTGTCAGCAGTGTACCATCGCTACTCCACTCGTGTTGCAATTCTGCCCTTATCTCAAAATCTGAACCATCAAAACTTTTCTTAAGCCTTTTTTTTCAAGGGAAAAATTTAATTATATTGAAAAGCAAATTCGTATCCAGCCCACAATTTGGAGAGGATCTGATAATGGTCCACGAATTGTGGGTTACTTGTGAATTACTCCAGCCATGGTAATGTGACTGATTTTTCCATGTCTCTGAGATGCGAAGTGCCATTAAAAGACTCAAATTTTAGAGGGTGAGAGGGCAGTGCACTTTAGGAGTAGCGGCGGTGACGAGTGTGACCAGGGGTTGAGGGGAAGCAGCAGAGTGCAACAGCAACACCAGTACTCACTCTGGATGTCTCCTGATGAGCCTCTCCAGCTTTTCCTTAGCAGCGGCGTAGGCAACAGCACTGACGGTGTGTAGGTACTGCAACACCACCTCAGCCTGACTTTCAAGACCCTCCACTTCCTCCTCCAGATCCTCAGCCTCTTCCTCCAGTGCCTGCAACACAAAAACAGAAGCCTTTTTTATTTCCCACGTAAATTTTTGCCGCATCGACAATCTTCCACCAAGATAGGGCGATCGAAGGTAGGGAATACATTCACCATCACTCATTCAATAGCTTTCTTGCCAGAAATGTACAGACATCACAATTCTGATGATCCCTGGAATCACAACATCCCAATCCCTCTTTCATATTATAGACACTATACGTACTTTCCACCTTCAGAACTGAAGTCCAATAATAGATACCAGTATTTAAAATAAGAGTTATATATATATACATAGCAAACTAAATCCAACAAAGTAAAAATGTAAGAAAATAAACTTGCTGTAAAAATAATGACCGATATTCTTTCTTATATGCGACCTCTTTCACTACATTAAGACTGCAAAGTAACATAGTGCCATGTTAGGTGATGCAGTCAGTAACCTTCGTACAAGTCCTCATCGACCCCTCTCCCTCGGAATTATTGGCATGCTTAAAATTGTACACATACAGTCTCGTCTTATATTGTGTATTTCTATTTTTCCTAATTAGAAAAGATCAGCGTAACTTAACGAGACTCAGGGGATGCAGTTTTCTTTATTATTCCTGGCTTCACCTTCACCAGGAGGTATGCAAGCATTATCATGTTCTTTGGTCAGCAATTGGTCCAGCAATTGGCTCCTGGAGTTCAATCCCACCATACATAGCAGCATATGTGTGTAGAGAACCTAGGATAACCCAAAAAAGTCAGACAGAGTGACTTATTTCCATTGGGGTCCTTTTACCTTATTATTATAATATAAAGGTTATAATATTTTCTTATTATTCTATAATGAAGATAACATCTTATTATCATACTAAAAAGACTATCTACTACACGAGGGTCATTAAGACTATCTACAATACGAGGGTCATTAAGACTATCTACTACCCGAGGGTCATTACGACTATCTACAATATATAAATGTGCAGCAGATTAATCCAGGGGAAGATAATACTGCTCTTAACTAGTGAATGTGGTGCGCCTCCAGACTCAGGATAAAATATGTACACTGAGAGTTGTTTCTCTCAGCATAAGAGTAAGGAACATCAGTGTTTAAGATCTGAAGCTGTTCAGAAGTCTTACTTCGTTTACTGCAATGAAACCAATTTGTTGAATACAATTGACAGTATTCTTGACTAATGATAAAGAGGTTACCTGAAGCCTTGATGATCCTTTGAGTAGTCAATAGGCTTTAAACCCAATTAACCAACATTCACACACTGGACAAGTGAACACCTGCACAAACACACACACACATCGATGAGGGGCTGAGAGAGTAAACATTTACAAGTGTTACCTACACTTGTGTTTATGTGGGCGTGGCAACACCTGTTATGTGGGTGTGGCAACACCTGTGTATGAGCATGGCAACACCTGTTATGTGGGCGTGACAATGCCCACATAACAGGTCGCGCACTCAGCTCACACAATGAGGTCTGGAGTTCGAATCTCTGATACAGCTGGAAAACATTAGGGACATGTTTCCATAAGACACCTGCTGTCCCTATTCACCCATCAGTATAAAATGAGTACCTGGGTGTTAGTGGACCGGTGTGGGTCACATCCTGGGACAAAACTGACCTAATTTGCCCAAAATGCTCAGCATAACAAGTAGCTTTCCATACAGTAGTATGTCATTGATGTCAGCTAGGCCTGTATACCTTGATATGTACTTGTAGAAATAAAGATACGTATTAATATATTATTATATATAGCTGGCTTTACCTTTTATTTGGTTATTTTTACATAAAGTACTTCTAACAAGACAGTAAATGATAGCACAGTATGTGTGTTTCCACTTTCTTTTTTCAGGTCACCCTGCCTTGATGAGAGATGGCCAGTGTATTAAAAATTTTTTACAGCAGACCCCTGAGTTTCGTGAGCCTCACGTTTCATGAATGTTGACTTTTGGCAACTTTTTTCATCAAAAAGCCTCATGGTTCATGATTTGCCTCGCGATACATTCATCGTATGGAACGTGTCCGTGCAGCTGGGGGCAGCTGGGTGCACAAAACGGCTCCCACACAACATTCACAGCATCAGTGTGGCACTGTTTCTGCATGAGTGACCTTCACTCCACGTGTTCATATGATACATTTCGTAACAATCCATTGTTTTTGGTGCTTGAAACTGCTAAATAAGCCACCATGGGCCCAAAGAAAGATTCTAGTGCCAGCCCTTTGGTAAAGAAGGTGAGAAACATGATAGAATTAAAGAAAGAAATCATCGCAAAATATGAATGTGGTGTGCGTGGCTGAGCTCAGCAGGATGTACGGAAAACTCCATTAAATGATCACTTCCATCGTCTCGAAGAAAAAGGAAATCAAGGAAGCTGTTGTTGTGAAAGGGGTAGATATGCTCACCAAAAAAGAGACTGCAAATACTCAAAGACGTTGAGATTTGTTGTTAGTGTGGATCAACCAAAAACAATTAGCAGGAGATAGTGTTATGCAGTCGATAATTTGTGAAAATGCTGGTAGAATTACCGACAATATGTAAAGTAAAAGGACACAAGTGCAACTAATGTGACATTTTTATTGCGGCAACGTTTCGCTCTCCAAGAGCTTTGTCAAGCCCTGGAGAGTGAAACGTTGCCACAATAAAAATGTCACATTAGTTGCACTTATGTTCTGTTACTTTACAAGTTGTGAAAAGAAAAGGCAGCTGCATACCGATCTTGTAAAGAAAATGCCTGCAATGTTTGCTGATGTTAGTGAATTTAAGGCCAGCAAAGGCTGGGTTGAGAGATTTAAGAACCGTAGTGGCATACACAGAGTGGTAAGGCATGACAAGGCTGCCAGTTCTGACACATGTGCAGCTGAAAAATTCGTGCAGGAGTTCAAGGACTATGTAAAGGCTGAAGGATTCGTCCCCCAACAAGTGTTCAATTGTGACGAAAAAGGCCTCTTTTGGAAGAAAATGCCAAAGAGGACCTACATCATGCAGGAGGAAACGGCACTGCCAGGACACAAGCCTATGAAAGACAGGCTAACTCTCATGTTCTGTGGTAATGCCAGTAGAGTGTTCAAGAAAAACAGTGTCGCCAAGAGTAAATTGTGTGTAATGTGTAAGGCTAACAGTAAGGCATAGGTCACAAGGGAAATTTTCCTTGATTGGTTCAATGAAGTGTTTGGAACGAGTGTGAAGAAATACTTCCTGGATAATAAATTGAAACTCAAGTGCCTCCTGGTAATGGACAATGCTCCTAGGGAGGCCAAGCCCATGATGACACTCTTCAGGTCACTTGTTCTATCTAGGCTGGAATATTGCTGCACTCTAACAGCACCTTTCAAGGCAGGTGAAATTGCCGACCTAGAAAATGTACAGAGAACTTTCACGGCGCGCATAACGGAGATAAAACACCTCAATTACTGGGAGCGCTTGAGGTTTCTAAACCTGTATTCCCTGGAACCCAGGAGGGAGAGATACATGATTATATACACCTGGAAAATCCTAGAGGGACTAGTACCGAACTTGCACACGAAAATCACTCACTGCGAAGCAAAAGACTTGGCAGACGATGCACCATCCCCCCAATGAAAAGCAGGGTGTCACTAGCACGTTAAGAGACCATACAATAAGTGTCAGGGCCCGAGACTGTTCAACTGCCTCCCAGCACACATAAGGGGGATTACCAACAGACCCCTGGCAGTCTTCAAGCTGGCACTGGACAAGCACCTAAAGTCAGTTCCTGATCAGCCGGGCTGTGGCTCGTACGTTGGTTTGCGTGCAGCCAGCAGCAACAGCCTGGTTGATCAGGCGCTGATCCACCAGGAGGCCTGGTCACAGACCGGGCCGCGGGGGCGTTGACCCCCGAAACTCTCTCCAGGTAAACTCCAGGTCATCCTTCAGACTTGGATGACCAAATGGTGGAGGAGTTTAGTTTCATCACAGTGAAGTTCTTGCCCCCTAATACCACTCCTCTTATCCAGCCCATGGACCAGCAGATCATTTCAAACTTCAAAAAACTGTACACCAAAGCAATGTTTCAAAAGTCTTTGATGTGACCTCAGACACCCAATTGACCCTAAGAGTGTCCTGAAAAGATCACTTCAGTATCCTCCACTGCATAGGTCTTATGGATAAGGCTTGGCAGGGAGTGACTTCCAGGATGATGAACACTGCTTGGAGAAAATTGTGGCCAGATTGTGTCCTCAACAAAGATTTTGAAGAGTTTGAGGCTGACCCTGAAAACCCTATGCCAGTTGTGCAATCTATTGTGGCACTGGGGAATTCCATGGGGTTGGATGTGACTGGCCAGGATGTGGAAGAGTTGGTGGACCACTGTCAAGAGCTAACCACTGAAGAGCTGTAAGACCTTCATTTGCAACAGCAACAGACCACAGCTCAGGAAATTGCCTCAGAGGAGGAAGAAGAGAGATGGAAGACAGTCGGTGCCTTCTTCAAAGCTTAAGGACATTTGTTCAAAGTGGAGTGAGGTGCAAATGTTTATGGAGGAACATCACCCTGACAAAGCTGTTGCAAGCTGTGTTGGCAACATGTACAATGACAATCTCCTGTCCCATCTGAGGCAAATTTTAAAGAAACGCCAGAAACAGCTGTCCAGAACAATTTTTTGAGCGACAGGGGTCCAGTGACTCTCGAGCTGGTCCCAGTGGCATTAAAAAATGAAGAAGGGAAGTAACCCCAGATAAGACTTGGAACCTAAAGTCTTTATGGAAGGGGATTCCCCTTCCAAACAATAGTGTTACTTCTCCATCCTCTCCCCTCCTCCTGCCTTCCATACACCAACAAGAGTCTTCAATAAAGGTAAGTGTGATATTATTCTTTTATACTTGATTTTTCATTCTTTTCTGTATGTAAATCTATATTTAATCTAACAAAAAAATAATTTTTGTTAATACTTTTGGGTGTCTGAAATGGATTAATTGGATTTACATCATTTCTTATGCGAAAAATGGTTTCAACATTCGTGAATTCCAACTTTCGGCAGACTCTTTGGAACGGATTAATCATTAAACTCAGGGGTCCACTGTAGTTACATTTACAGGGAAGTGCTAAACCCATAAAGGTTACACAGTGCCAGGCAAATGAGGAAGTCAATTCTGATTCATGGAAGAGAATAGCTCCAATTCCTTGGATGACAAGCCGTCACGCTTGAAATTCCTCAACCTGTACTCCCTAGAACACAGGTGGGAGAAATACATGATCATATACACTTGGAAAATCCTAGAGGGATTAGTACCAAACTTGCACATGAAAATCACTGGACCATCACTCGAAAATCACCCAGCCAACAGTACCAGCCTGGTTGATCAGGCCCTGATCCACCATGAGGCCTGGCCACAGACCAGGCCGTGGGGGTGTTGATCCCCGAAACCCTCTCCAGGTATACAAAGGATAGCATGTACCCATCAATAAGCCAAAATGATGACATTTCAATATTTAGAGTAAGGGAGATGGATATACCAGCAGCAGCTTCACTAGAGATACTTTCCCTACACATACACACATACCAGGGATGCAGCAAAGAAGCATGGCTAGAAGTTATATACCAAAATGTGCCATATTTCTTCAAGATAAGCAAGATAAAGAAGTGGAATGAAATCAATAATAATACAATGGAAGTGAACTCTATACATCGATTTAAAAACAGACATGACAGTTAATTCATAGCAACTGGTTGAAAGTTAAGAGGCAGGATCAAGAGCCTGAGCATGACCACTCCTGTGTAAACTCAAATATTTCAACAGGTAATTACAACCAGATCATCTAAGGTGCACCCTGACAATACATTATGGAGATACTGACTGCAAACCCCTGGGGTATACACAAACCCTGGGGAACTACATAATTTTTGCCTTAATAAGAGATGACAGAATGTATCTACAACAAATCATCCAGCAATGTTTTTCAGGCAAATACAAACCGTAGATATTAAAAACTCAGTCTAAGTGAAACTTCTTTTAAAACCTCTCACAAAAATAGAGGCAAGTTCACAGTGCACTTTACCTGCAAGGTCTCTTTGATGGTCTCGATTTCAGTGTCGTCTTTAGTCGCACAGTCAAGTTCTTCAGTGAGACGCTGCTCCAAGTTGTTGAGGCCAACTTCAAGACTTCGAACTGCCACATCATAGTCCTGCCATTGACTGATAAGGGATGCCAAAGCCTCACGTCGGCCCTCCATGTTTTCCAAAGCAATCTTCCATTCTCTATTGAATTCTAACAACTGATTACCAATGTTTACATGACTTGACCTGCTAGCCTGTTGGAGAAGTTCATTGGCCTTATCTGTAAAGTCATTTATGATGTAACTTTGATCATATAGACGCACACGCTCTTCATCAATTCTTTGTAGGTTAAGTCGTAATGCTGCAACATTAATGGCACTATCATCAGTCAGAGTGTTTACATTAGCATCCTTTATAAGGCCTTGTGCTCTCTCCACAAGGTTGTTGTATTCCAGTGCAAGCTGAACATTTTTCTCAAGTTGAGCCTTGTGATCTCTTGCTGATTTAGTAACATGATCAAGATCCTTTGTGAGCTTTGAGAGTTCATCTGTTAGCTCTTCTTGGTCTTCACTAGTTAAAGATGGAACAATTCTTTCAGCAATATTGCCTAACTGTTCAAGAGATTCACCAATCAAGCCTTCACTTGAGAAATAAGCTAAGTGATCTTCAAGTTCCGATCGTACATTCTCATAATCAACACCATCAGCATCAAGAATACGTTTATGTGCCTCAGTGATCCAATCATTGATTTTGGTAGTAAAATCTTCATAATCTAGGCGAAGCATCTTTGCATCTTTGAGGTACTTGAGCCGGGATTCCAACTCAAGTGGGAATGTAACTAAAATCATATTTGCCTCTGAAAGTCTTTCTTGAAGGATATATGGGAGACCAGTTTCTAATTTGGCTCTCTCCTGGATGCTACGAATTTTCTTAAGTTGATCCTCAATGTCACTGGCAAGCTCTTCATGAGTTTCAAGTTCTTCATTTGCGCTCTCCACTTCTAATGTTAGAAGTGGCCGAGACTTCAGTTCAGATTCCTGCTCTAACAGCCATTCCATTGTCATATTAAGCTCAACATGGATACGTTTATGACTCTCTGCCGATACCTCGTGTTCTGAATGTCTTTTTTCCACATCACGACGAAGAGCACTTAAATTGGTTTTTACTTGTTGCAACTGTTCCGTGATGGCATTGTGATCTTCAACAGTTCCTTCCTCACTTATGATTGATCCCTTATCCTGAGCAGATGTTAACTGAGCTTCACATTCCTGAATTTTTCTTATTATATCACTGTACTTACGAAGTTTATCTGTTACTGTCTTCTCTGTTTGCTCAACATCCTTCACAACAGTAGTATATCGGTTAACAAATCCAGTAATCTCACTGATAAGAGAGGTGTACTGCTGTCTCACGAGGATTAATTGCCGTATCCTTGTAATTTGTTTTTCTAGCACCTGAATAAGCTCCTGTTGTTGCTTAATCATATCACGCATCTCGCCTACACTGACTTCAGACCCAGTACGCATATCATCCAGACTCTTCCTAAATTCATTAACCCTTTTAAGAGCCTCCTGGTATGAGACGAGGAGATTCTGAGCATCTTCTACATTGCGACCAACTGGCCTATTCAGAGCCTTGATTTCCTTCTGAATAGAAGAGAAAGTCTGGGCACTCTGCACAATACGTTCTGTATTGCGTCGCTGGAGTGTGATGGTGTTACGAACCTGTTCTGTTTTATCACTAACAGAAGAATTCACTCTTGATGTTTTATCTTGTAGGTCACGTACAATGTCTCCCAAACTGAACTTGTCACCCTCAGTGAGGTAAGGTAACAGATCCTCACAAAGATTGGCAATGCTGGTCACCCGCTTGTTTGCTGACTCACGTTCATCTTCCATTGTTTCTAGTTTTTTTAGATGCTCTGCAAGAACTTCAGCTGTATTGAGACTTTTGGTATCTGTCTGTAAAGCAACCTCAGCCTGGTGAAGCCATTTTTGAGCAATATCAACTTCTTTTTCAAAGTCACGCCTTGCCTCCAAGAGGTTGGAAAGCCGATTTTGAGTTCCAGACATAGTCTGGCGGAGGTTGTTCATTTTGTCATCAATTTCAGTTAATATGTCATGCAATTCATCCTTTTCATCTTCTGTACAGTCCTTGAAAAGTGCACTTCCTTGCCTCTTCACTCCAGATACACTAGTTTCTGCATACTGCTTTAGTTCAGTGTCAAGTCTTCTGTACTTCTCAACTACACGCTCTGCAACCTCAGATTTGAGAGGCAGAAGGTCTGGGCAGACCACTTCATCTACTTTACCACTAATCCAAGCACGTACTTGGTCAAGTGACTGCTCAAAGCTGCGTCGCTCTTCATAGGACACAATCATATCATTCTTGATTTCCATTACAGTGGAGTATAATACTCCTAGCTCTTCTGAAGTCTTGCTCACTATGTTGTCCAACAGTTCCAGCTCAGATTCTTCAACATCACCTTTAAGATTTTCAATAGCTTTTTCTAGCTGAGCCAGAAGCATTCTCTTGGCAGAAACCTCCTTTGAAAGATCCTGAAAGAAAAAGACCCATGCAAATTTAGTGGAAAAACAAAACTTGGTAAAATAATTATAAATAAGTAAACAACGAAAATAATGACCAAATTACAGTATTTAATCATCATCCTTTAGCTATTAAAATTACATACTATAATCCTTAAATGCATCATGTAGATTCAGCATATGAGAATATGTGAGGTGCACAGTGACAGAATTGGGACATAACATGGGTGAAAATATTATTTTGTATTTCTGTGTACAGTATGCCAGTACACTGTCATGCATTTTTTCTAATTAGTAAGTGGTATAGGTATGTGCAATATATGTTTCACTTTGAAACCATACCCCCGGCCGGGATTGAACCCGCGGTCATAGAGTCTCAAAACTCCAGCCCGTCGTGGTGCCTGTGCTACCCTTCCTATGGTGTAGAAATATACCTAGTTGGATGAATCTTATTGTGGCTAGCTGGTCTAGTGGCTAACGCGACGGGCTGGAGTTTTGAGACTCTATGACCGCGAGTTCAATCCCAGCCGGGGGTATGGTTTGTTTGCAATCGTGTCATTACGATTTCTTGAGTCATGTTTTACTTTGTACTGTAATTGCTACCATGCTGACATTCCAAGTTTAAATCTGTCCAAAATGCTTGCTATAACTATTGGCTTTTCCAAGAAGATAATACTGTAAACCAATCTTATTAACATAAATGAAAGCAAATCAACACATCAGCCGTCTCCCACCGAGGCAGGGTGACCCAACAAATAAAGAAACACCTTCACCATCATTCACATATATCAGTGTCTTTGAAGAGGCACCCTGATACAACAGTTCAGATGTCACTCCAAACAGCCAGTATCCCAAACCCCTCTTCAAAGTCCAGGAACTGTACTTCCCACCTCCAGAACTCAAGTATGGTAACCATTTTCCCCTGAATCCCTTTGCAAAATATTACCCTGCTCACACTCCAACAGCTCATCAAGTCCCAAAAATCACTCGTCTCCACTCACTCCCATCTAACACACTCACACGTGCCTGCTGTATATTATTGTATTATATTATTATTATTATTATTTTATTTATTTATTAACACATAGGCCGATTCCCACCAAGCCAGGATGGCCCAAAAAAGAAAAACTTTCATCATCATTCATTCCATCACTGTCTTGCCAGAGGGGTGTTTTACACTACAGTTTATAAAACTGCAACATTAACACCTTCCTTCAGAGTGCAGACACTGTACTTCCCATCTCCAGGACTCAAGTCTGGCCTGCCGGTTTCCCTGATTCCCTTCATAAATGTTGCTTTGCTCACACTCCAACAGCACGTCAAGTATTAAAAATCATTTGTCTCCATTAATTCCTATCAAATATGCTCATGCATGCTTGCTGGAAGTCCAAGCCCCTCGCACACAAAGCTGAAATGTAAATAACATTCTTTTAAAATGAAGTAAAGAAAATGTTGTAACACTGTTATCATACATTGTACTTACATTAATATCCAGCAGTTTGATTTCTGTGCTTTTACTAGTGTATCCAAGAAGTGGCAGATTCCTTGTAAACTCCATCTTCTCCCTCACCCACTTCTGCAGGTTGAGGATATCATGCTTGGAATCTTCGTAACCCTTACGTGTCATTTCAATCACTTGCATCTTCTTACCAACACGTTTCTGAAGATCTGAATATTTTTTCTCAACAGATCTTAGCTGTTCCTCAACTTGCTGTACATCTAAACTTGAGAGTTCCAGCATTACATCACTGACCTTCATCTTGAGTTCCTGCAGTTGAGTTTGAACATCTTCAAATTGATTCCACAGCTGTTGTACTTCAGCAGACTTCTTTAAGGAATCTAGACTATCACTCTTGTCACATTTTTCTAACTGCTTGATAATTGTGTCAAACCATCCATAAATATTTTGAAGCTTACTCCTGTACTCTTCAATCTGTTGAATAATGACTGTTCGAGAATCAATGAGATTGGTTACTTCCTCTTCCAACCGATTCATCTGCTCACGAATGTCAGAATCAGCCATGTCAGGAGCCAAGTTCATTTGTTTAATTTCCAGTTCGTCTAAAATGCTTTGCTTTTCCATGATTTTGGAGCGAAGATCGTTCATTTGGGAGATTTCCATTGCTGAGGCTTCAGGTCGTAGCTTGGCAGGGCGGCTCTTGAAGTCTTGCACAATGATGTGGTATTCCTCAATCCATTTTCTGATGGCATCATTTTGACGAGCAAGTTCTTCCAGTTCACTCACTGAGTTGCTAATAGTGGACACTCGTGCCTGCACCTAAAGTAAAAACATAAAACATTTAATCTAGAACACTGAATGGGAAGCTGTAACCATTTATACAAGAACAAATTAATGAAGCCCAACTACTACAAAAAACATTATGATTAATCATCATATCTTGAATGGCTGTAAAATTCCAAAACTAAACTGAAATATTTTAAGCTTTAACACTTGGAAGACATGTATGGATATTACGAGTAAAAGATCATTAAAGTTTTGCCAATTTTATAGCCCTGGCTTCTTTAGATGCAACATATTGACAGTTGTATGAAGGCCAAAGTAATTTTACTGCAGAATACTATATTGCTGTATTACTATATACAGTAATGATTTGTAATGCAAAGAGCACTAAATTTTATCTCCAAAATATTGTACCAAATTTAATCTTAAACATTGTTTAAAACCATAACGGTCTTCAAATCAGTAACGTTATCACTTGTGTCATTGTTTTGCAATACTTATTATCAATATCTTTTCTTTTTCTTACATCAATCAATAATTAATTTTTTTAATTATTGTGTTCTTATTAACTCATAAGGAACAGAGCATTAGGAAGAGTGGCAGCTTACTTTAGCCTCCCACAGGAGAAAATATAAAAGTTTTATTTAGTAAACACTGGCTAGTTCCACTGTGATATTACAACTGGATTATGTGCAAGAAAATATGATGGAAAAGAAAATGTAAGAGACTATTAAGTAGCATTGCACTGTAAGCATATACAAAGAAAACTCATCAATGAGGAAACAAATATCTAATTTGTTTCCCCATGATTGCATAATAATAATAATAATAATAATAATAATAATAATAATAATAATAATAATAATAATAATAATAATAATATTCTTTATTCCTACAAGTACTATATGATACAACCTATATAGACCTAGCTGACATCAATGACATACAATATAGAAAGCCCCTGGTTATACAGAGCATTTAGGGCAAATTAGGTAAATTTTGTCCCAGGATGCAACCCACACTAGTCAGCTAACACCCAGGTACCTACTTACTGCAAGGTGAACAGGGACAGCAGATGTCTTAAGAAAACATGCCCAATGTTTCCACCTGCACTTGGGATTGAACCATGGATGCTCAGTATGTGAGCTGAGTGCTACAGGACACCGTAGCCGAGCCTAACTATACTCTGCTGCCTGAGAAGATTATTATATACAGTGGACCCTCGAGTTTTGGCAGCCTCGACTTTCGTGAAATTCGACCTTCGGCGAGTTTTTTTTGGAAAAATTTGGCCTCGAGTTTCGTGAAGAAACTCGTGTTTCGGCGACCGTCCAGTACCCGTCCACCCGTCACCACGCACACAAAGCCAGTCTCCCACGCCATTCATGCTCAGTGTGCCATTGTTTACCAACACGTGACCATCACCCCGTGGGTTCATACGTAATAATCCATTGTTTTTTGTGATTACAACTGCTAAATAAGTCACCATGAGCCCAAGGAAAGCTAGTGCAAGCCCTTTGGTAAAGAAAGTGAGGAACACGATCAAATTCAAGAAGGAAATCATTGAAAAATATGAGAGTGGAGTGCGTGTTACAGAGCTTGCCAGGATGTATGGCAAGCTCCATTCAACCATCACTTCGATCGTGGTGAAAGGAAAGGAAATAAAGTGTGCTGTTGTTGCAAAAGGGGTGGATATGCTGACAAAAAGGAGATCACAAATCCTCGAAGAAGTGGAGAGGTTATTGTTGGTGTGGATTACCGAAAAACAGTTAGCAGGAGATAGTGTTACGCAGTCGATAATATGTGAAAAGGCAAGGCAGTTGCATGACGATCTCATAAAGAACATGCCTGCAACAAGTGGTGATGCTTGTGATTTTAAGGCCAGCAAAGGTTGGTTTGAGAGATTTAAGAAGTGTAGTGGCATTCACAGTGTGATAAGGCATGGTGAGGCTGTCAGTTCTGACAAAAAAGCAGCTGAGAAGTTTGTACAGGTGTTTAAGGAGTGCATAGACATTGGAGAATTCAAACCCCAGCAAGTGTTTAATTGTGACGAAACAGGCCTCTTCTGGAAGAAAATGCCAAAGAGGACCTACATCACGCAGGAGGAAGCGGCACTCCCAGGACACAAGCCTATGAAAGACAGGCTTACTCTCATGTTTTGTAGTAATGCTAGTGGGGATTTTAAAGTGAAGCCTTTACTGGTGTATCACTCTGAAAATCCCAGAGTGTTCAAGAAATACAGTGTCGCCAAGAGTAATTTGTGTGTGATGTGGAAGGCTAACAGTAAGGCATGGGTCACAAGGGGAATTTTCCTAGACTGGTTTAATGAAGTGTCTGGCCCCAGTGTGAAGAAAATAAATTGCCACTCAAGTGCCTCCTGGTAATGGACAATGCTCCTGCTCATCCTCCAGACTTGGAAGAGCAAATAGTGGAGGAGTTTAGTTTCATCACGGTGAAGTTCTTCCCTCCTAATACCACTCCTCTCCTCCAGCCCATGGACCAGCAGGTCATTTCAAACTTCAAAAACTCTACACCAAAGCAGTGTTTCAAAAGTGCTTTGAAGTGACCTCAGACACTGAATTGACCACTTTAATATCCTCCACTGCATAAACCTTATAGGTAAGTCTTGGGAGGGAGTGACTTCCAGGACTTTGAACTCTGCTTGGAGAAATTTGTGGCCAGATTGTGAACAAGAGAGGGATTTTGAAGGGTTTGTGGCTGACCCTAAGGAACCTATGCCAGCTGTGGAAATATTGCTGGAATATTGCTGCACTCTAACAGCACCTTTCAAGGCAGGTGAAATTGCCGACCTAGAAAATGTACAGAGAACTTTCACGGCGCGCATAACGGAGATAAAACACCTCAATTACTGGGAGCGCTTGAGGTTTCTAAACCTGTATTCCCTGGAACGCAGGAGGGAGAGATACATGATTATATACACCTGGAAAATCCTAGAGGGACTAGTACCAAACTTGCACACGAAAATCACTCACTACGAAAGCAAAAGACTTGGCAGACGATGCACCATCCCCCCAATGAAAAGCAGGGGTGTCACTAGCACGTTGAGAGACCATACAATAAGTGTCAGGGGCCCGAGACTGTTCAACTGCCTCCCAGCACACATAAGGGGGATTACCAACAGACCCCTGGCAGTCTTCAAGCTGGCACTGGACAAGCACCTAAAGACAGTTCCTGATCAGCCGGGCTGTGGCTCGTACGTTGGTTTGCGTGCAGCCAGCAGCAACAGCCTGGTTGATCAGGCGCTGATCCACCAGGAGGCCTGGTCACAGACCGGGCCGCGGGGGCGTTGACCCCCGAAACTCTCTCCAGGTAAACTCCAGGTATTGTGGCATTGGGGATGCCCCTGGGGTTGGAGGTGAGTGGTGAGGATGTGGAAGAGTTGGTAGAGGACCACAGGGAAGAGCTAACCACTGAAGAGCCACAAGAGCTTCATCTGCAACAGCAAGAGATCACAGCTCAGGAAACTGCTGCAGAGGAGGAGGAAGAGAGATGGAGGAAGGTGCCTTCTTCAAAGATTAAGGACATTTGTGGAAAGTGGACTGAAGTGCAAACATTTATGGATGAACTTCACCCTAACAAAGCTGTTGCAGGCCGTATTGGCAACATGTACAATGACAGTGTTGTTTCCCACTTCAGACAAATCTTAAAGAAACGCCAGAAACACACCTCTCTGGACAGATATTTTCTGCGACAAGGGTCCAGTGACTCTCACGCTGGTCCCAGTGGCACTAAAAGAAGAAGGGAAGTAACCCCAGATATGGACTTCATACCTGAAGTCCTAATGGAAGGAGATTCTCCTTCCAAAAAATAGTGTACACCTTCCTCCTATCCCCTCCTCCCATCTTCCATCCACGCAGATGTCTTCAGTAAAGGTAAGTGTAATGTTATTATTATTTTTTAAATGTATTTACTTGATTTCTGATTGTTTTCATTATGTAAATCTTTATTTAATTTGAAAAAAAATATTTTATTTTAATATTTTTGGGTGTCTGGAACGGATTAATTTTATTTCCATTATTTCTTATGGGGAAAATGGTTTCGAGTTTCGTAAATTTCGACCTTCGGCGGGCTCTCTGGAACGGATTAATCACGAAACTCGGGGGTCCACTGTAATAAGAAACTCTAAACCCATTATTACCTAAGATGAGATTATCTTTCCTATTATTACCTAACATTTATTGTTGTCATTCAAAGCATGAAAATTACAATGCTGCACTAAATATAAACACTGCCTTTCTCACTTGTAATAACTTATCATTTAACAAAAAAATTTTTGTTACACACTTTTGAATATTTAGTAAAAAATCTTGGGTCATGATTTTGAAACCAACAAAGAAAAACTTTTGTTTTCTACTGACCTGTTCAATAAGATCCTCCAGTTTAGCTCTGACAGCCATTTCACTCTCTGGGATGGATTGAGAGATTACATCCTGAGGAGACCCTGGCCGAGAAATGGATGCTGTGGCAGCTTCACAGGCTTGTACAGCAAAAGCCAGCCGAGATTTCTCTCCTAGTAATTTACTGTGCCATGACTTTAGGGGCAAAATAAATCAGTGTTAAACTTTCTAAAGAACAAATTATGATTAATATAATTACATAAAGTTTATAATTAATTAGTACATATAACCACTGAGAGAAATTACCAAATTTTATTGCTCTTCCAAATTAACTACTTTGCATATCTGAGATCATTAGCCACTATGATTCTATTACAAATGGTATATCTGTTTTAGTTATATAAGTACACTAGCTACTCTGTCAATTTGCCTCACATTACTGCTATGAGCTACAGTACTTGAATACTATAATGGTAAATTTTTGAAAAGCAAACAAGTAGAAGCAACTAAAAAATTTACAATATTTACAATGGTACTTAATGTTGCAGTCAAACTCACCCTAGTACACTCAAGATGGTACTTTGCCTCTTCCATTGTTTGTATAGTGGTATCATTCTCCTCAGCAATAGTTGGTTCCCACTCTTCTAGGTTCTTCTGGATAGACTCCAAGGTGGCTTCATATTCTTCAAACTTGGCTAGAGATTCACTGAGACGTTTCTGGATGTGATTGGCAGTACTTAAGAGAGAGTTGTAGCTCTCCTGAATGTTGTGCAACTGACGCTCGATCTTGTCTTGGATTGAAGGTACAGAGCCAATGTAACGGTCAATCTGTTTACGGCCTTTATTCTTAACTTCATCCAGAGTCTGTTGGTACTCAATGATCTCTTCGAGCTCTTCATTATGGCTCTCAATCTGTTCTTCAGTTTGTTCTCTATTACAGATATATAAGGAATTTTCAGCCATCAACTGGAAACTAATCTGAAGGAGCCACTTCTCAGTCTCCTGTAGTGCTAGCTGATATTCACTAAAGTCAGAGATTTCTTCCTCAAGTTTTGTTATGATTTCAATACATTGATCATTAAGTTTTTCCCACTTTGATTCAGTTTCTTCCACACGGTTCAGGATATCTTCATCTGAGGCCCTTTCTGCATATTCCTCTGCATCATCCAAGAGATTTTGAACTTCTTCCCGTTTTTCTTGGATCTGGAGAGCAATGTGTTTGTAGCGTTCAAGGAAAGTCCTCATCTCAGCAACTTCACCCCGAGAATCTGGTGTCTCTACTAGTAGCTCCTCTACTTCCACTAACCAAGCTTCCAGTCTTGTTTGTGCCTCGCTAAATTCTTCCCAACGATTCACAGCACTCTGAAAATTTAAATAATTTTTTTAATACATTAAGCCATCTCTCACCAAAGTAGGGTAACACAAAATAATTACATGCTTCAATGTTATGATTCTCATACAAACTGATCATATCACAGTGTGGTACTTTTTCTTTAAAATTCAACACAAAATCACAATACAGTACAATGCTCAACAGTGCAATGATTTTTGCGCAAGAAAGGTATACAATACCGACGAGATGAAAGTTAAGACACATGTGCAACATCTGGGTATCTTTATTGTAAATGTTTCACCGTCCAGTGGCTTTATCAGTACAGATTCAAGGAAATAACTAGAAGACAGTAGAACTATATACAAAAGATGAGTTAATCAGTCCCTCAACCTTGGAGTTGGTGTGAAGATCACCTTGGTTGTAGAGATTCTATAACCACAGTGATCTTCACACCAACTCCAAGGCTGAGGGACTGATTATCTCATCTCATGTAGTTCTACTGTCTTTTAGTCATGTCCTTGAATCTGTATTGATACAGCCACTGGATGGTGAAACTTCTACAATAAAGATACCCAGATGTTGCACATGTGTCTTAACTTTCGAAATGATTTTTCTTTATTAAACAGCAGAAACCTGATACAGTACATTGGGTTAACAAACCTTGAGCTTGGAGAGGGTAGAATTAAGTGAAATGTTCAAATGATCCCATTCATTACGGAGCTTTGTGAAATCCTGTCGAATCTGGTCCTGCTGGTCCACTTGACTAAGGTTGAGAGCACGCGTATAAGCCTCTGCCAAGACACCTAACATGTGCTGGCCTTCAGACAGTCGTGTTGCCACTAGCTTTACTGTGTCTAGTTTGTCCTGCACCTATCAATGCAGAGAGAATAGCAGAGCATTATAAAACTTTAAGTAAAGCAGTAGTTGGAATCAATTACAGAATCAGTTTTACAGGGACACTTAAGAGACAAGAAATAAGCAAAAATCAGAGATGGCAAAATGCTTAGATGATTTCAACAATTATGTTTACACAGCAGGATGCAGCTGAAACAAAATACAAGAAAGGCCTCTACGATTACACTCAGGTCAAGCATAACAAAAAGTTAATAAAGAAGAGACTTAAGGAAACTGAAAGGTCACAAGGGCAGCAAAGTAAATGCTGAAGAAAGTACACAACAAGCATAGCTCTGCCCCTGTAACTAAAAAAAAAAAGCAATCCACACTAATAAAAAGCTAAATGCTGTACAGTATTTTATAAGCATAAAATTCAAAGACTAGGTATACTCCACCAGCATACTCCACCAATTTTCAAAAGTCTGAATCTGCTCACCATTAAGAACATCCATACTTATTCATGTGCCTACTACATACACAGAACAATACATGCAAATATAAACCCTCCACTCAAACTTCTCCTCACCAACCTAAACAGGACACATGACCACAACACAAGACACAGATCTCTTTTTGATATACCTCATGTCCATATCACACTGTGTAAAAACTCTATGCACATAAAGGACCCCAAAATATGGAATTCATTACCAGAAGATATTAAAGTAACCCAGTCTGAAAATCAATTTAAGACTCTTCTCAAAAGCCGCTTAATCACCCTAGACTAAATGCTAAATATTCAGTACACACATATTCACCTATGTACTCCCACATCATAACTGAAACAATCACTTTAACCTTTTATCCATTGTTGACAGGAATATAATTGAATCATTGTTTTCTCAAAAAGTATGTTCAAATATAAATATATCTTTGTATTATCATATAGTCGGACTTGAGTCCTGGAAATGGGAAGTACAATGCCTGCACTTTAAAGGAGGGGTTTGGGATATTGGCAGTTTGGAGGGATATGTTGTGTATCTTTATACGTACAGTGGACCCCCGGTTAACGATTTTAATCCGTGCAAGAGGGCTCATCGTTATGCGAAATAATCGTTATGCGAATGAATTTTCCCCATAAGAAATAATGGAAATAAAATTAATCCGTGCAAGACGCCCAAAAGTATGAAAAAAATTTTTTTTTACCACATGAAATGTTAATTTTAATACACACAAACTGAAAAAGGCATGCACAATTACATGACACTTACTTTTATTGAAGATCGGTGATGATTGATGGGATGGAGGAGGGGAGAGCATATCTTCTTACTGTTTAGAAGGGGAATCCCCTTCCATTAGGACTTGAGGTAGCAAGTCCTTTTCTGGGGTTACTTCCCTTCTTCTTTTAATGCCACTAGGACCAGCTGAGAGTCACTGGACCTCTGTCGCACAACAAATCTGTCCATAGAGCTCTTGTAACCTCCCGTTCCTTCAAGACTTTCCTAAAATGGGCCATAACATTGTCATTGAAATAGTCACAAGCACGGCTTGCAACAGCTGTGTCAGGGTGATTTTCATCTATAAAGGTTTGCAGTTCAACCCACTCTGCACACATTTCCTTAATCTTTGAAGTAGGCACAATGGATTCCACAACTGGCATAGGCTTCTCAGGTTAGCCCCAAACCCTTCAAAATCTTCTTAATTTCCATCTAATTCTCACCCTTTTTACCACAGGGTTGGCACTAGAAGCTTTCTTGGGGCCCATGGTCACTTATTTTCCAGAAACAGCACCGAAAATACTGTAATAATACGAAATATTCCGAGTGTATGCTTGGATGTTACCGCGGAGGCTGGCTGGTAAACAATGGGACGGAGCGGCACATGTGAGGCTGGCTGAGGGCACATTGGACGCGTCTCGGACGAAAATCGGTATGCGGGTTTTTAATGGGTATGCGCGGCAAAAATTTTGCGATAAAAGTAATCGTTATGCGGAAAAATCGCTATGCGATGCCATCGTTATGCGGGGGTCCACTGTATATGCTTCTAAACTGTTGTATTCCGAGCACCTCTGCAAAAACAGTGATAATGTGTGAGTGTGGTGAAAGTGTTGAATGATGATGAAAGTATTTTCTTTTTGGGGATTTTCTTTCTTTTTTGGGTCACCCTGCCTCGGTGGGAGACGGCCGACTTGTTGAAAAAAAAAAAAAAAATTATACAAATTTTGATTTATTCATAATTAATATTCTACTGTACAACTATGAAATAATTACTATTCTACTGTACACCTATGTACACCTACTGTACACCTATGTACACCTTAGTGTTAAGTAGACTGTAAGCCAATAATGTTAAGTTGGCTCATAATGCCTAGGCATAATAGAGGCTCTCTTTGCATTGCAACCCACTATTGTAAATATAAAATCTCAATGTACTGTTTGCAAAGACATAAAATAAATAAATAAATAAATAAATAGGTTGGTAGACAGCAACCGCCCAGGGAGGTACTACCATCCTGCCAAGTGAGTGTGAAATGAAAGCCTGTAATTGTTTTACATGATGGTAGGATTGCTGGTGTCCTTTTTTCTGTCTCAAACATGCAAGATTTCAGGTACGTCTTGCTAATTCTACTTACGCTTAGGTCACACTACACATACATGTACAAGCATATATATACACACCCCTCTGGGTTTTCTGCTATTTTCTTTATAGTTCTTGTTCTTGTTTATTTCCTCTTACCTCCATGGGGAAGTGGAACAGAATTCTTCCTCCGTAAGCCATGCATGTCGTAAAAGGCGACTAAAATGCCGGGAGCAAGGGGCTAGTAACCCCTTCTCCTGTATACATTACTAAATGTAAAAGGAGAAACTTTCGTTTTTCCTTTTGGGCCACCCCGCCTCGGTGGGATACGGCCAGTGTGTTGAAAGAAAGAAGAAGAAAATTCAAAGAAAATCTTATAACCTTGTTTTAATCAACAAATATTTTACTACTGTCTTACCTCTGCCTCTGAGCCAGTATCATCCTGACAATCATTTACAGTGCCTTGAGAGCGTCCTAACCACTGCTCAAATTCTGTCTTTGCAGTAACAAATTCTGTATGGTCAGTCAAAGTTTTCTGGGCAATAACTACTAGACTCTGCAAATAAAGATAAATTCATGAAGAAGATTAAACTAAAATGATACAATATGCTTCTTGCCAATTTAGATTCAAGCTCCCATGAAATCACCAATGACAATTATAAAAATGTTAGACACTGCATATGCCACACTTGACAGGAACAGACTATTTACTGATCTGTAAAAAGTTTTAAACACTGGTGACCACAGTATTCTTCTTTAAAGATAACTTATTTATGAATTTTACATAAAGACAAAAATTAATAGCATGAAATACATTTTCATATAGTAAATGAAAACATCCAAAGAACAGATACGAAATATCAACATTAAAAAAATTACTTAAAATCATTCACAGCTTGTAAGCTAACAATACAACTGTATTTCATACCTGTAGATTTGTGAGAACATTGGTATATGTTGACTGGAGCTGAACTGTCATGTCTCTGATAGGTGTATGTGCACTATAATCCATGAGCACTTCACAGCGGTCGTTCAGCACTTCCAGGTGAACCTTTTTGCTGTTTGCCTCCACCAGAAGTTCCTGTAAAGAGGTCTTAATTTGGAGGAGAGAAAGTGTCAGTCCATTTTTCATTAAGAGGGAACAAGTTTAGGCAGGGTATTAGGGACGGAGTGTTTAAAATAAAAAAAAGGGGATGGATGGGTATGTTGAAAGGCACCAACATGCTTTCAAACACCACCTTCTTACAAGGAAACTTTGTAAGCAGATTTGGTTACTGAAACACAATAGTTCTTTAGTATACTGGGCATCAATTCTGAAATGAGCTAATTAACTTAGGATATGTTGACAGTTATACTAAAGGCAGTCCTTACCATCAAGATCATTAGTAAATATTTTTTATTTTGGTTACAAAATGAAAAAAAATCAGTGCATAAAACATTTTGCTCAAGTGAGAGCATTCTGTAGGAAGCTTTAAGGCTTCCTGCCTGTTCTTTTTTTTGAGTACTATATGTATTAATAACACAATAGTTGTTCCCAGCTGTCTAGACTCTTTTAGATCTCTAACATAGTAGAGTAATATGCAACAGATCTTTGACAATGGCTGACTCAGAGCATCAGCCTCACTCCTTCAGTATCAACTGAGATCTTGCCAGCCTTTCCTGTACCCATGTCACTGAGGTGCCTTTGCATCTCTCCTTTCCCCACTATCTACAGTAATATTTTTTTATGAAATGTTCACTCTTCACAGATTTTTCTTTTTTTATATACATACAGTGCCCCTGTACCTGGTTGTCAATATTTCCTCCACAGGCTTTTTGGTCACTGACAACTTATGCCAGGTTACCCCACATGGTGACTCTGGGTCAAGATCTACTCAGTAAACCTACCTGTAACATCAAAAATGGTATACAATACCGACAGGTTGTTAGGTAAGACACATATGCAACAGTTAGACAACTTTATTCCGAAACGTTTCGCCTACACAGTAGGCGAAACGTTTCGGAATAAAGTTGTCTAACTGTTGCATATGTGTCTTACCTAACAAACCTACCTGTACTTCCACTGACAACTTTAATCTCATCCTGTTGATCTAATATTTTCCTAAACTATACCACTCAATACCTCTTATGACCCCAACTCTTTTCATCACTTCTGGCAGGTCTCCTGTCACTGCTTTTTTCTTCTTCCCAGTTGCCTCTATCTGGTTCCCTCATTCTTGTGATGATTTTTGTCTTGTTTCTAACTTCTGTCTGATATATCACACTCTTTCCTTAGAAAAGGTTGCAGTCTGGATTACATGGAAATAGACTACTTATTAAATGTCTATATCAGAATTTCTTTACTTCAATTATGCAATTATCACTCTTCCTATTTATGACTTTTTATATTTCTACTTAATTTTACCTCCTAATGGACCTTTTTTTCATATGTTCTTGGTTTATCCCTTATATTCCCACTCTTATGCTTCTCTTCCATTTATTCCTGGTTCTCTATTTCTCCATATTTCTTTTTAATTCTAGTTTTATTTTATCATTGAAGGAGCCTTCCAAATACTGTACTGTACAATAATCTCTCTTCTATTTTCCATGTCCAGATTCATCTTCTGCCTTTTTTCTTCTTTGATTTCCAATATTATTTCTCTCATCATACTTTCTGTGGCTGAGACCAAATGTGTGATCCTCTCACTAGACTCCTCTCATCCTCTTGCCTCAGTACCAGGAAGACCTCCCCTCACACCTCTTGATGCCCCCAGACCCCTAATCACTGGGAATCTTCTTGTAATCCCAAATCCTGAGGTATTTACTGTTTTCTAATGCATTATACCCCATTAATGATAAACCTTTCCAAAGAGCCAAAAACAGCTCCACTTCCCTGCTTAACAGCCTGGTTGATCAGACCCTGGTCCACTACGAGGCCTGGTCATGGACTGAGCCATGGGAGCGTTGACCACTAAAACACCTTCCAGGTATACATACTCCATTTATCCATAGTGTGGATCTCAATCCTGCTATATACCACTAGACTTGTGAAGATGTGCTAGCTATTATCTTTTTTTATGCTGAACTAAGTAAAGAAGCATGAATGATTACAGAATCTACCAAAAAATGTTTTGCATAAAAAATTGCTTTCCATAGAGACTGCAATGTGTACAGATATATAATTAAAAAAACTGAAACAGCCCCTTGTATTTTTTTAAATAAAATTTGAATCTGTACAGTGCAGTATTTGTGAATGTAAAGATTTAAAGAGATTTAGTAAACACATTTCTAGACAATGCTCATATATCTTCTTACCATGCTACAAATTATTGTTTAAGTTCTCTTGACTTGGTAACCAGAACAAACTAATGACTGTTGATGGTAATTTAAGGATAAATTTTCAGTTGGTTAATCCTGACTGGAAAAATGGTTACGTGGTGCAGTACAGGAGAGCCAATGGAAACCAGTGTAACTGCAGATTATAATACTAAGAGTGAAACAGGCATGAACAAAACCATATACAACCAATGATTGGAGAGATGAGATGAAAATAACATGATGGAGTGGCAGTAGTTTCCAGGGCCCAGGAAAATACAAGAAAAGTCCATGTCGGCAATGCTGGTCAATATGAAAAATGGATTAAAGAGGGGGAAAGGGAAGAGTGGGGAGGTTCACTCTCTTTTAGACAAATATTTGATTTGATTTCCAAGGTGACATGGACAACATCAAAGAGCTCTAAAATATTTTTCTGATAATATTAGGAAGACTTTTGGCATACATAACAAAACTCAGCCTCTCCTCAGGTATCTTGAAAACACTGTACTCAAGTTTTAAAATGCATTTCATTACAGCCTTTAATAGAGAACAGTACAAACAAATATGACAAGTGTGCTTTCCACTACAGCAAAGAAAATAAGCAACTGAAAAAAAGCACGTATTCAGATGTACCGTACAATATTAGAGGGAAGAAATAGGTCTAGAAACAAGCAGATTGGGCTACACATCAACTGATGATTTTTTTAAATGAACTTAATAAATTTATTTAAAAAAGCCATATTAAAAAAAATACAAAAATTCATATTAGTAGAGTTATAAACACTTGTAAATACAGTATATGTAAAGTTTAGTTTAGTAGTCCAACATTTATACCAATCTCTCAATTAATGATTTTATTTATACTGTACATAATTCACTTTATACTACTCAAATTCCACTCTTACAAAGGTTTGCCTCATACTTACACAGTTGACCCCTGATATTATTCACTTTTGGCACAAGGAGAAAGCAAGCTTGTGCAAGATTAAAAACCTGATGAAGGGTGAGTGAAAGAGACAGCAAGTTGTCTACCCTCCCTGCTTCCTTCCAAATAAATCATTTCCATGCACTTAATAATTAAGGTATGAAAGATCTCAAAATTTATTTTATATGAGGCCACATCATAGGGCTATTTATTAACTTTAATATAATTTATCATGAAATTCATTCATTCATGAGATTTGGGCAAGACATACAACTTTGTATGAACCATGTCTTACGCCTGGTAAACAATAAGGGAAATAAACATACCACGGTTGGGGTTTGAACCCGCAGTCAGAGTCTCAAAACTCCAGAACATCGTGGGTTCAAACCCCACCCATGGTATGGTTTGTTTACAATCGTGTCATTACGATTTCATGAGTCAAGAAGGGAAATGACGGGGAATGGGAGTATTTCGGTAAGTCAATAATTTTTTACATATACCATATACAGTATTATTTTAGTGCATTAAATACAAAATTCCTATTAGTACATGCATTTAAAATTAAGTACTGTACAGAATCTTTATTAAAAGGAAACTTAGGCTGTGGGTGGGAATGTAACTTTTTATTTTACAGTTGTACCTCAATTATTGAACAGCTCCTAACTCGAACAATTATGTAAGTGTATTTTTGTAAGTGCTTTTGCGAGTGTATTTTTGGGGGTCTGAAACGGACTAATCTAATTTATATATTCCTTATGGGAACAAATTCGTTCAGTAACAGCACTCAAAGAGCCTTCTGGGATAAATTAAGTCTGTAACTCGAGGTACCACTGTACTATTCAAATGTACTGTATATTCACTTAGTGACTTTTCTGATACTAGACTAGTTTTATAGGACTGGAACCACAGGTAAAAGTGGGGACACCTGTATTTACTTCAACAATTACTTTAAATAATTCCACGAGTAAAAAGATTGATGTGTAATCCAGATTTTTAATGTTAAGGAAACATTTCAGCAGCACTGTACAAGTAACCTGACTTTTTAATATTTGACAGTTGAAACATTAGGGAACATCTTCAAAATATAGTCATCCAACATTCTTGGTTTTGATGTCTGACTACTGTTGCAGTGATACCTCTGTCATAATGGCTAAAGTACCAAGCAAGTCTATTGGTATCACACACACATACATCAAGACTTCTGAGCTAAAACATAATTTGAGGTGCCATAAATCTGTTCTGTATTCATTGCTTTAATTTTGAAGCCATTAGTAGTCAAGAATGTCTTTCTCTAGCATCAGTAGTCAAGAATGTCTTTCTCTAGCATCAGTAGTCAAGAATGTCTTAGAGTGCTACTGAAAAGGGGATATACAACTAACTACAACATATTTCTCAAGTCATCTAGACAATCATATTTGGTATATAGTACATGCCAATGATACATGTGAGAGCTTTCATATTTTTTTATGAGCTGGCAAAGAATAATATACCACAGGATTTTGTGGAATGCATCTTTTGTTATTAAGCAAAGATTACCTGTGTTCCAACAGTACAGTATTACATTTCCTGTTCACAAATTAGAAAAACACTGAGGACAGGCAAAATCCTTCTCCTAAGTTTTTAAAACAAGAACATTAAAAAAAAAGAAGAATAAGCAAAGGCTACTTGAGGATTCAGTGAAGCAAAGCAGGACACCAGGGAAGGGGGTTATATGACAAAATAGGCAAAGGGAAATAAAATGTAGACAATATGCAGCCTTTAATGAGATGTTAGTAAGTAGAACTAAAATAGTTTATCAATGCTGTCTACACTGCAATTACCATATGTTCACTTACAGAATACTAGGCTAGAAGATAATATGAGATCTCTCTTGCAAAATACTGTAAAGCCTTCACATTATAAAAAACTGAGATGCAAGAAAATTAGCTAATTATTAACAAAAACACAGCTAACATAAAAGCAATATCAAGAGCTTAAGGTATATAAAAAAGCAGTGTAGACAAAGCCGAGGCCATCATAATACAGCAAACATACCTTCCACTTTTCAAGATCTTCTGGAGTAGGTTCTTCAGGCTCCTGTGCCACTTGCTGTTGGAAGTCTATTAACCAGGTATTGAGATCCTTGTAAGTTTCTGTAAACTCATCCCATATCTGCAAACACTTTTCCATTGTGCGACGAATGTCAATGCTCATCTGTTGGAGGGATTCCCATTCCATACGCAGACTTTCTGCCTCACTACGGAGTGCCTCATGACCATCATCCGATGTGGAATGTCGAATTGATTTGTTGAGCTCAATAGCTTTATCAATAAGTTCCTCACCCTCAGGAAATTCTTCTGCAATATCCTCCTGTTGCTGCTGTTTCTCTATTACCTCTTTCTTTTCTCCATGACTATCTGCAAATTGCTGCATTGTTATACGAGTCTTTCTTAACCAGTCGTTGGCTTCCACAACTGAACTATGGTAGGCTTCATGATCTTTAACATACACTTCAAGAGTCTTAATGTTGTCAATGACTATTTTCTTAATTGAATCATATTTATTGAGACATTCATCAACCTCCTCCTGGGAGTATCCCTCATCATTTCTCTTTACTGCTAACCGCTCCACCATATCAAAATGAGCAGCTATGTCACGTAGAAGGATACGATATTTCTCCAGAGCAGCACGTTTATCACTTAGTTCACTAAAGAGCACACCCTGCTCACATGCCTTTGTGTTGAGTTCTTCCAACCACTCAACAACAGTTTTATGCATCTTATCAGTTTCCTCTCGTCGTGACTGCCTGGTGCTAAGATTTTGATGCATGCTATATATATCGGACATGAGCTTTTCAAACTCTTTACGCACATTTTCAGTGTCATCCTGAATCCTGGCTGCACCTATCTGTTCTGTATTCATAATAACACGTTCTTTAAGTTCAAGAACATATCGTAGCTTATGCTGGCCTTGTTCTAGTGTGTTCTTGATGGCTTTCACACCAGTCAATTTTTCTTTGAGTTCCTCCAAGGAAGTGGTCTCGCCAGCACATTCGTTAAGTTTCTTGCGAGTGCGATCAATCCAATCAATGCACTCTGCATACAACTGGTGGTGCTGCTGATGCTCCTGGAAATGCATCTCCAGGCGGCGCATCACTTCCTTGGCAAGAGACAGCAATGTATTGTATTTTGTAGTTAACTGTGTGACAGCATTACTCACACGTGAATCAGCACAGGTCTCCAGCAAGAGCTGTGCACGCATGTTGAGCAGATCCAATGTTTTCTGCCAATCAAATATCATCTGCAGAGTGGCTTGGAATTCTTCCAGTACTGATCGCTTCTCCTGGACTGTGTTCTGAAGCTTATTGTAGCTCTGTACTTTACCATCCATTTTGTCTAGCCACTGCTCACATTCTCTAAACTTATCTTCATATTCTGTCCATTTAACAATGCCCATTTCTAGAAGATTCTTTGTCTTGCCAACTTGGCCCCTGATACAAAGCAGAAGGAGAAGGATAAATTAAATAAAATAAAATTAAAACTGGTACACTGATAATGCAATATATGTAACTATAATAACTTATATTCACTTTGAAGTACAGTAGACCCTCATATTACATGGATTTATTTGGCACGTTGTGGTTATTACACTATTAAAAATTGCTCCATAATTTTATAGAGCACTTCATAAAATTAACTTAACATGGTTTAGTTTGCGGGAGGGAAAAAATTCGCTTGAGTTGACTGAACAAAAAACAAAGAAAGGTGCACTATTTAACTTCATCTTAATTAGGGAAAAGGCCTCACAGTTGTTTAAAGCAGTGTGTGATAAGGAAGAAATGCCTGAAAAAGAATGTGTGTTTAGCACTGGCTGGTTCCACAACTTTAAGTTGCATAATAAGTTACATAATATTAAGTTTTCTGGTGAAAGTGCTTCAGATGATTATATAGGAGCAAGTAATTTCCCTGCAGAATTTCAGGAAATTATTTCTGAGGGTGGCTATGAGCCACATCAAGTGTTTAATGCTGATGAGACAAGTGTTTTTGAAAGAAAATGCCAACAACAACTTACATCAGTCAGCAAGAGAAATGTGCATCGGGCTTCAAAGCAGCAAAGAACTGCTTCACCTTACTCCTTTGCAGTAATGGGTCAGGTGATTTCAAGTATAAGCCCATGGGTATTTACCACTCTAAGACTCCTCGTGTTTTGAAAGGTGCAGATATAAACACCTTACCAGTAATTTGGAGGTCAAACCAGACAGCATGGCTGACAAAGGAAATATTTATTGACTGGTTTGAGCATCACTTTATTCCTGAAGTCAAGTTTTACCTGCACAGCAATCATTCCACCTCAGTCCAGGAGGGCTACACCATGCGTCTTCACTCTCTTCACAATCACTGACATACACCAGCAACCACAATTTAAGTCTTAAGCAATAAAAACATATTTTTTATTTTTGTAGGACATGGATGTCTAAAAAAAGTTTTGGATTTTTTTTGAGGGGGGGGGTCCTCAGGAATGTAACCCTATTTTCCCATGAGTTCTTCAGTTTATATAACACAGATCTAACAAGGCATTTTCAGGGATGTAACTATCATATAATATGAGGGTCTACTGTACTAAAGCTGAAAGGATTATATAAAACCTTAAGGATGGGAAATAATCAGGTCTGATACAGTTCTTTGGATCATAAGCCCTTTACCAGCATTAAGGCTACCTACCCTCCTTGAAGCACCACATAAATAAAGGAACACCAAAATATTCAAAAAATATTAAAAAATTTAAAACACATTATTGCACAAATATTACAATTAGATATTTTATTATATTTTATTGAACATTCACTATTAACAGAAATATAATTCAAATACTTACAAGAAATTATCAAACTCATCTTGCAAGAATGCTACTTCTTCTTCTATGACTTCCTTATCTTCATCATCAGCTAGATTACAGGCCCTCTCTGCAAGCAAGAAGGCTTTATCCAGCTTCTTCTGACCTTCTTCTTGTTCATTCTGAAGCAATTTGAGTATTGTTGCTTTGCCACTGATTGTATCCTTGTCACCAGTTGGCTCAGCACATTTGGCCATTCTCTCCTTAGCAGCTCTAAGCCAGTGCATGAACTCATTACCTGCATCAACAAATTCTTGATGATGATCAACCATATCTTTCTGCTTCTCAAGAAGCTCCTTAGCTTGCTTGCTAAGACTATGGTACTTACTGGAAATTTCTGATGCATTATTCTTTACATGGCTTGCTTGACTTTCTGTTGCTTTGGAAGTAACTGACTCAATCATTGGCTCAAATGATACAATGTCTTGCACAATACTGCTAGTGCGTCGCAGATTAGCTTTACGTTCTCCAATACTTAAAGAAGAAATCCTATGAGAAAGGCCAGTGCCTCTCTTACTAGAGGCAGTCATTGCATTAGTAAGTTGCTGGAGCTTAGCTTCTCTTTCACTGATCCATTGTTGCATGTTGGTATAAGAAACACTCATGTCAGCCCATTGTAAAAGGTTAGTTTCCAGGGTTACCTTGGCACTGGAGAGCTTCTTAATGAGTTTATCCCAATCAGCCTGCAGTTCTTCTAGAGATTCGTTGATTATGTCACGCCCATCTGATCGAGTGTTACGAAGCACTTTTTCACCCCAGTTGACAGCCTGATGAACTAGTGCCTGACCTTCCTCCTGCTTTCTCATTAGTGACTGAATCATTTCCAAATGTCGCTCTAGACTCTCTTTACCAGAATCAGGTGACATGTCAATGCAGTCTCTAACAACCATACGAGCATTGTCAATCCATTCTCTAGCCTTACTTAGATATGTTTCGTACTGGCGATGTTGGTCAAAGCTAGCTTCCACCTTCCTCAAAACATCCTTAGCCATATTAATTAAAACTTGATAGCGAGAGTTAAGATGTCGCATTTGGTTCTGGACAAAGGAATCAAGGTGAGTCTCTTGCAATGTCTGAGAAAGTTCATTTAATTTTTTTAATTGCACTTGATGCTTCCCAAGATTTTCTAGCAGATCCTGAAATGATATATTAAACACTGTACTCTACAATCATAATAACTTTGAACAATAATTAATATAATTCAAACAACACCTCATCTACTTATTTACTGCTATACTCCATTCTTATCTATGCTGGGAGATTAAAATAATTCTTCTTCTTTCAATGTACCAGCCATATCCCACCAAGGCAGGGAGGCCCAAAAGGAAAAATGAAAGTTTCTCCTTTTAAATTTAGTAATATATACAGGAGAAGGGGTTACTAGCCCCTTGCTCCCGGCATTTTAGTCGCCTCTTACGACACGCATGGCTTACGGAGGAAGAATTCTGTTCCACTTCCCCATGGAGAATTAAAATAATTACATGTATATAATCAGCAAAGAATTGTTGTAAACAAAAAATTGAGAAAATTGATCAACAATTATATTTTACTCCTTTCTTTTCTTAAAAATTCATTGTCAGTGTAAGAATGTGAATTAAATGATGAAAAAATTCTATACATATTTTATAATATTTCATTCTTTATCAAGATCACTAAAAAGGAAGTTTACAATGAAACTTAGATCCAGTCATCCATCCTACACACACTTCTGCTATAGCATTATTCCATAAACTCATTATTTTGTAAAATTTGGCTACAAATAAATAATTTCAACCATTAATTATTCATTTTTGTATTATGTTTCCATTCTGTCCAAGAAACTCTAATACTATTTCAATTTCAGAGAAATCATTCAATTTGCAAACCTTGTTGTATTATATGTTAAAAAATCCTAATCACTACATTCTCTTCTGACCATTGATTCTCTTCGTTCATCATGTATGGTATATTTCCTATACTGCCATGCACACTTTTTATCATTATTAAAAGCAATTACTCTATAGTAAAATATTCATTTCTCATATTTTTTATTTACAATTAACAGACTTCTGTATAGGAGTGAGGCTGATTCATTACCTTTGTAACTTGCCATGATTGTGGCCAGATCTACTTGGAGTTCATTACCTTTGTAACTAGTTCAGCTATCATAACTTTGGGGTCCAGTCCCTGGACCCATTATGTACCTCTGTAATCTTTTGACTACCACCCACAGGATGGGTATGGGGTGCATAATAAAGATATTAAACTAACTATGATATTAATTTCAATAATGTATACTGAACTAATTTATTTAGTTGTATTTCTTTCATATAGAAATGGTTAAATGACAACGTAAATAATGAAAATGTAATAGTGCAATTATTCCATCAATACCTTGACATTATTAACCTGCTGTGTCTTCTCTCCTATGCTGGCATACAACATAGTCTTGTAGGCCTTCATGTCAGCATCAGCCTTCTGTAGCCAATCAGACAGCTTCTCGTATTCATCTTTATAGTCACGCCACTGAACCACCGTTTTCTCCAGGTTTTCCTTCTGGCAGGAAATGTCCTTAAAAAGTTCTTCAAAACTTTCTTTTACTGCCCGCATCTCATTTTTGTAATGTTCTTGCCCTGAAGATGATGTGGAATGGAGGAACACTTCACATCGATGGAGAAGCTGATCCACCAATATCTGCCCCTGAGCTTGCCGTGTTAAGAGTGTGTCTAAAGCTTGCACTGCTGTTTCAATAGAAAGTCTATCCCCAAGGTTCTTCTGCTTAAGGGCTGGAATTTTATCACGTGTCCTATTAACAAATGCATTGAGGTCATCGTAGGCTTCTTTGTAGTGACGGTGATCTCGGTACTGAGTCTCTCTTTCTGCTCGTAAGGTTTTGATACGATCAGAAAGATTCTCAAATTGTTTCAGTATATTTTGTGCCTGTGATGCTGCTTGTGCTTGCTGTCCACTTGCTAGCATCTCTGAGGCCTTCACTTTTAAGCTTTCTACTTCATATTTCTCACAACGAAGTTTTTCTTCTAAGCTCTGAAAAGATAATACAAATTTTCTTATTCTGTATAACATAAACTTAACAAGACTCTCTTCACAAATTCTAAAATATATTCACATTGTGATGCTAATTGTTTTGTGAATGTTGTTCTGTCCCATCTGTCTACTTTTCCATTGAGGTTCATAACTTTAATATAAAATATAAATCAAATTCATGTATTTCCATGAATATGATACCATTAATAACTGAAATAATATATGTTTATTTATGTTATTTATGAAAGTTCTTAACTTCCACAATTAAGGTAATTCATTTTTATTACCATCAATGTCTAATTACCAGAATATTAACTATAATCAGTCCTGTGTACAGTACTACAATAAGTAATTCTTTGAAGAATAACCTATTCTTAAAATTTACAGCTCAAAATTAATGTAAGACAATGAATACTATATACACATACTCAGTGGAATGTATTCCTAGAAAGGAAGGTAAGCACTGATTATCAAACTCTATAAAAATCCTTCCCTTAACCCTATCACTGTGGTGGCCCCAGAGAGTATGTGCTGACAGTATCAAGATTTAAAAAAAAAAATTAGTTTTTCAAATGGTAGAAAATCTTTTCTGAAAGTAATAACACCAAAAATGTAAAATTTGATGAAAAACTTATGGAATTATATAGGTGTAAAGTTGGCAATCTGGATACAATTTATCCCGTCAAGGGAGGTTCCTTGATGTTGGTAAGGGGCTCTTGATCTAGGAAATTGTATCTGTGCTCTAGTTCCCTGAATTGTGCCTGAATACCTTCCATCCCCACTATGCATGCACTCCCCAATGATTATAATTATAATGGAAGCAGCTTATACACTGGCAATTTTGTCGACTTTGAATCCAATTTTAAGCCAATTCCATCAATCAACTGGACCCAATTCCTGGCTGTTTTGCTATTATGTCTTCCATTCTATCGATTGGACACAGAACTACCCTGTAATGTGCCCAGAAGTTGGTAATTTGGCCAATTTTATGCAAAATTCAACCTGGAGAATACCTGGAGAGGGTTTCAGGAGTCAATGTCCCCATGGTCCAGTCTGTGACCAGGCCTCATGGTGGATCAGGGCCTGATCAACCAGGCTGTTACTGTTGGCCACACGCAACCCAATGTATGAACCACAGCCCGGGTGGTCAAGTACTGACCAATTTAAAAATAAAGTCCAAAATAAACACAGTAGACATTCCAGCCCTATGGTAACTTCTTCTCAGGTCTGTAATCACATATTGAAGCCTCTCCTATATAACACTTGCCGTCCATTTTCAGTCCATCACCACACACAGAAAAAAAGTTTTCCCTATTTCTTGGATAATAAAATATAACCAAGAATGGTCATGGTTTAGGCCATTTCAATAACCAAAGCAAAGGTTGTGTAAACATATAAAACAGACTGGGTGGGGACGGCCCTGCCCTTCCTCAGGAAAATCTCCAAAAATCAAACATTTCCTCCAATTGGAGACCTATTGGCTGTTTTTTGGTATCAGTTGATACCAATCTCTCAAATGATACCAAAAAACGGCCAATAAAACCATAAAAACCACCCTAGACAATACATGAAATCTGTTATTTTAAATTAAATACATCAAGAACTACATGTTGCAGTTTATGATGTATTTAGTTTTTATACTGTGCATACCCACTGCACAGACCCATTCTCTCATGTCTAGGTCAAAATTTACCACTCACAGCACACCTGAGGGCACTGTACTTAAGGCGTAGATCTATGTGAACGACACTCATTCCAAAACGTAGATCTACATGGGAGACATTGCAGGGTATAATTATAATATCTTTTTATTTAATAATAATAATAATATCCTTATTTCTACAAGTATATGTACAAAGTATACAGGCCCAACTGATATCAATGACATACTACTATGTATATAGAAAGCGCTTGTTATGCAGAGCATTTCAGGCAAATTAGGTCAGTTTTGTCCCAGGATGCAACCCACACCAGTCGACTAACACCCAGGTACCCATTTTACTGATGGGGAGCATAGACAACTGGTGTAAGAAAACATGCCCAATGTTTCTACCCTAGCCTGGAATCGAACCCGGACCCTCACCATGTGAAGCGAAAGCTTTAGCCAGCAGGCCATGGGGCCACCCACTTAGCTAACTTATTTAACTAAATAGTATACAGTCCGTATTTGTTATTTATATCTCAGCATCAGATCACTCTAATACAGTATAATGTGAGTAAGGTGATGAGGGTATCGAATGATTTAGATAAATAAAAACTGGATATCACATTGGAGAGAAGGAGTATGGAAGAAGTGAATGTTTTCAGATATTTGGGAGTTGACGTGTCAGCGGATGGATTTATGAAGGATGAGGTTAATCATAGAATTGATGAAGGAAAAAAGGTGAGTGGTGCATTGAGGTATATGTGGAGACAAAAAATCTATAGAGGCAAAGAAGGGAATGTATGAAAGTATAGTAGTACCAACACTCTTATATGGGTGTGAAGCTTGGGTTGTAAATGCGGCAGTGAGGAGGTGGTTGGAGGCAGTGGAGATGTCCTGTCTAAGGGCAATGTGTGGTGTAAATATTATGCAGAAAATTTGGAGTGAGGAAATTAGGAGAAGGTGTGGAGTTAATAAAAGTATTAGTCAGAGGGCTGAAGAGGGGTTGTTGAGGTGGTTTGGTCATTTAGAGAATGGATCAAAGTAGAATGACATGGAGAGTGTATAAATCTGTAGGGGAAGGAAGGCGGGGTAGGGGTCGTCCTCGAAAAGGTTGGAGGGAGGGGGTAAAGGAGGTTTTGTGGGCGAAGGGCTTGGACTTCCAACAAGCGTGCGTGAGCGTGTTCGATAGGAGTGAATGGAGATGAATGGTATTTGGGACCTGACGAGCTGTTGGAGTGTGAGCAGGGTAATATTTAGTGAAGGGATTCAGAGAAACCGGTTATTTTTATATAGCCGGACTTGAGTCCTGGAAATGGGAAGTACAATGCCTGTACGTACTTTAAAGGAGGCGTTCAGGATATTGGCAGTTTGGAGGGATATGTTGCGTATTTTTATACGTATATGCTTCTAAACTGTTGCATTCTGAACACCTCTGCAAAAACAGTGATAATGTGTGAGTGAGGTGAAAATGTTGAATGATGATGAAAGTATTTTTTGGGGGGATTTTTCTTTCTTTTTGGGTCACCCTGCCTCGGTGGGAGACGGCCGACTTATTAAAAAAAAAAAAAAATGTAAAAGAAGGAAATCAACAGTGAACATAGGAAAGGGCAAGGTGATGAAAGTAACGAAAAAACCTAGGAAATGAAAGACTGGATACAATATTGGAGGGAGGAAGGACAGAGGAAAAAAATGTATTCAGACATTTTGGGGTGGAATTGTCAGCAAATGGGTCTATGAAAGATGAGGTCAACCTCCAAACTGACGAGGGGGAAAAAAAAAAGGCGGGTGGTACAGTAAGACATTTCTGGAGACTAAGTAGGGGTTGTTGAGGTGGTCTGGATATTTAGAAGAGATAGAACATAGTAGGATGAGGAGGAGGGTGCACAAATCTGGGGTGGAGGAAAAGAGGGGGTAGGGATCATCCCAGGAAAGATTGTAGGAAAGGGGTAAAGAAGGTCGTGACTATTAGGAGCTTGAGCATCCAACAAGGTTGTGTAAGAATGTTAGACAGGAGTGGAGGAATGAAGTTTTATGACTTGATGTGCTATTGGAGTGTGAGCCAGCTAACATTTATGATGAGATTCAGGAAAACCAGTTAACTGAGCTTGAGTCCTGGAGGTGGGAAGTACAGTGCCTGTACTTTAAGGAAGAGCTGGGGATGTTTTAAGGAAGGGCTGGGGATGTTGCAGTTCAGAGGGCCATTGGAACTGTGATGTCAGTTCTCTTCTGGCAAGACAGTGAGTGATGAGTGATGTTGAAAGTATTTACTCTTTTTTTGGGTCACACTACCTTGGTGGGACACAGGTGGTGTGCTAAAAAAATAATTTACACACACTTACTTTGAGTCTTTCCAGCTGTGCTCTCTTTTCAGAGAGCGTCGACTGGAACTGACTAACATCAGAGAGAGTATGTTCAACATGTTCGATTGTCTTGTTTAGTTGATGAATATTCTCAAGGAAGCCAGCCCACCGATGTATAGTTTCATCCAAGTAAGTCTTAGTTTCTACCATCTTGGATGCAAGAGCACTCCAGTCTTGTTGAAGCTTTTCAACTGCCTGGTTAATGTGTTCATGGCCCATAGGAGATGTGTTGGCTAATACAGTTTGAGCTAATTCAACAGTTCCTTGTACCTTTGTAAATCCTTCCTCCTTATATAACAAAAGATCCTGGATGGTTTCCATCTTTTTATCAAGATCATCCTGGGAAGTAGCTGATAGATCAGAACAATAACTAAGCTTCTTCTTTATGTCTTGAAGCCAACTGTGACATTCTGTGACTCTGCTTTCATAATCTGCATGGTGAGTAACATACTGGTGCCAACGGCTGTGGACATCCTTGACCTTTGTTGATATCTGCTGATAACGAGCACAAAGCTCATTTACCTGCGAGCCACGTGAGGAGTGGTTACCCTGGTACAGGTGCTGGGCACGTTCTGTTAACTGATCAATTTCGAGCTCCTTAGCACGTATTTCACCCTGTAGGGTTTTTAACTTATCCAAAGTTTCTTGTTTTTCTGCTAGAGTGGCATTCAGATTAACAGCATGTAATTTGTTGTCAGTTTCACGTAGCCAGCTCTGAATAGCATCCTTCATGGATTCAAAATCACCCCACTGATACAAGGTGGCCTCTAGTCTCTCTATGGTGGAAGAGACAGCTGATATAAGACCCTGCCATTCTTGTTGGGTGGTGTCAATCTGGTTACGCACATAGATCTGTCCAGACTCCACTGTGCCAGGAATAACTTTTTCCCCAAGTGTTCGTATCTGAAGAATTCTAGGCTCCTCCTCAGGAAGACTTAACTGAAGGTTTTTAAGCTTCTCAAGATTAGCATGTAGAGTAATGTGGTCACTGACTGACTCAGCCCATATTTCTACTGTATTATGTGTGGCATCTAACCATTCTTGTGTTTCAAATACAGTCTTACTGTACTGCTGATGGTCACTGACAATTGCCTCGTATCGCTCCAAATAAGACTGGATGCGTTGCATCATTTCCTGGTGGTGAGCAGTTGCTGTTTCTAAGAATGAATTTACACGATCAGATTTCTCTGGAAGATTTTCTGCTTTGTCACGAACATCAAGTATAGTCTGTTGCTTGGCAAGGATGTCGTGCAGAAGCACACGGTAAGTCTGTAGCTGTGCTCGTTTTTCATCAAGAGTAGTCTTTAATTCAATTTCATCGGGCATCTGTGCCTGGGTGTCTTTCAGCCATTGTTTAAGGTGTTCACTAGCCTCCTCAAAATTACTCCATCTACTCATCTTATTATGAAGGTCTCTTTCCATTGTGGCAGAACTGTCAAACAATGTGTCAAAAGCTCCTTGAAGATCTTCAAGTTGAATTCTAATGGCTTCTCTCCCATCATCAGATGTTGAAGGATAAAGCTTCTCTCCTAACTCCACTGTGGTGTTGACAAGTGATAAAGCATTCTGTTTCTCTGCCAGCAGCTCACTTCCTATCTCCAACCTTTTCTGTATAGTTGCTCTATCTCCTTGCATGTCTACACATCTGGCTAATTTATCCTGAGCTGCAGTAAGCCATCCAACACTTTGGTTATATTTCTCTATGAAGGCTTTGTGATCATTAACTCCTACTTCACACTTTTTGAGGATTTCCTGAAAGTAATGAAAATAATGTGAATTAATTGGATTCTTGTTATTTTTAACCACAATTTCAAGGATATTTGAATTTCTGTATTTCACCATATTTCTACTGCCAGTGCTAAGTGCATTCTTATTCCACCTATATAGAAAGAAAAATTACCTAAACAACACTGGAAAAATATAAGCACAAGTATGAATAATGCCAAATAAACAACACAAACATCTTAATAAATTTACTTAAAATGAAGGACATTTTTTCAAACACAATATTACTAATTTATCCTTTAATCTTATGTAATTGAACACTTGTTTCACATAGATTACTGTATTTAAAATAAAAATAACGTAGCCTCAAGAATAAAGTTAAACAACGTATGGAAATGTGCAACATTTTTGTCACTAGACGAAAATCTCAGAATACTGCAACTTGTGGTAATCGTATTACAATTATGAAATTAATATTTTACCTAATACATGAATAGCATATGTGACAACTACAATATAATAATCTCTTATAATGCAGGAAGAGATGAATTTACATACTTAACAGAATCTGACTGATACTTTGTGTTCATCTGTCATGTTGACCTTCAGGATTTAATAAATGAAGCAAATATCTCACTCATTATATGATTAATGAAAAGAATAAAATTTATATATAGAATGACTAGTAGGCTTTTAGGTACTATGACGCCTTACCTTAGCAGTAACCTGAACAGCCTTGAAGCGGGAGGTTATCTGCTGAACATTAACAGAGATCCTAGTATCACCAGAGATGCCCATTAGGTCAGAGGAATCATCACTCATCTTGTCTACTTCACTCTGATTCTGCATAATGCTGAACACAAGCCCCTGAGTTTTCATAAAAGAAAGATACATAAAATTAAGTGAGATGTAGTAAATACTGCAGTAAATTGGAATATGGTACACAACAGTTAACATTTCATTTTGATTTTAAAATTAAGTGATGCAAAATTAATATGAAAAGTTTATTTTATCTGGCATAATGCAACTCCCTGATGCCCTTTTATAAACTTTCCCTCTATTCTGCATGACATACACTCTGAGCATATCTATTTGTAATTTACTTGGCACTAATGATATACCCAAAGATTTGAGTTCCTTGTATCACATATTCCATTTTAAGTTGGTTAGTGTGAGACTAGATATACTAACCCTTTTATGTAAGATTTTGCTTTTGTATCCTACTCCTGAGGGTATGCTAAATATTGGGAGATTTATGAGGTATGCTAACATGGCTCATAATCACATCTCCCTTCATTATCATTAGGTCTATGAATCAGCTAGCTAGATGTCTAAGAAGCAATCTATGTCTGGGGTTTATAAAGTAAATCTACATGGGTTAGAAACTAGCTATTCAACATATCAGTGTTCCATACTTCCTTTTCTCTGACAATTGTAGTTGGACTGCTCCATCAATATACTGCAAACTACTGAGGTATCTATTATCACCCCTCACACTGAGTCACTTGGCCAACATGCACAGGTATGCAGAACAACCACTGTGAAAAGAATAGCAAATTTCCAAGTGCTTTCATGATTTCCTCACATTATCAAGGAACTGTAAAAATAAAAGATCAAGACAAAGGCATACAAGGACAACCTACAATGCCTGACCTTTTTAAAAAGGTCAGGCATTGTAAGTTGACCACGAGGTGTATTCTCATCCTTATATGCCTTCTACCGATCTTTTATTTTTACAGTTCCTTGATAATGTGAGAAATCATGAAAGCGCTTGGAAGTTCAGTATTCTTTTCACAGTGGTTGTTCCGCATATAGTGATCATCACCTGTTTACTGTGACCTTATTGCATGCACAGATCTCTAATATAAAAAAAAACCTACTTTAGAAATTTATGACTGCAGAGTAACACAAAGGCAGATGCAAAAAGCTGCCTATGTTGTGAGGTTCCTTCAAGAGTATAGCAACAACACTAGTATACATGATGGTGCTGGTGACAAGCAGCAACACCAATTTCTAATTGATGTTTTATATTAAATTCATTGAAATATAACACATCACCAACACATAAGATCAATGTCTGTTTGAGAGACAGCAGTAGTCCATGCAAGCCTTTTGTCAGATGTTATGTGTAGAATTGAGACACTTATGCAACATATAGGAATTTTTATTGAAGAAATGTTTTGCCACACAGTGGCTTCATCAGTCCAATACAAAGTAGAAATTGGTAAGGAGAGGAGGAGATTGAGGTAATCAGTCCCTCCTCGCCTTACCCATTTCTACTTTGTATTGGACTGATGAAGCCACTGTGTGGCAAAACGTTTCAATAAAGATTCCCATTTGTTGCATAAGTGTCTCAATTCTTCAACTTGTCTGTTTTCAAAACTATTCATCACATGTTATATGTAGTTTATGTACGGTACTTGGCAATTTTATTTATTTTTTTTTATTATCACACTGGCCGATTCCCACCAAGGCAGGGTGGCCCGAAAAAGAAAAACTTTCACCATCATTCACTCCATCACTGTCTTGCCAGAAGGGTGCTTTACACTACAGTTTTTAAACTGCAACATTAACACCCCTCTTTGCAATAAAACAGTTAGAAGTTTTCTCATAACACCAACTTATTCCACTATAAATTAATATTTTACCACAATCCTATTCTGTTTTAATTTGGACAGAAAACAAATGCTACCCTTCAAAAACTGAATATTTGTGTTATAATTTTAATATTGCTTTTTGCATACAAAAAGTTTCTCTTTTTAACTTTAATAATGTATACAGGAGAAGGGGTAATTTCAAAGAATCAGATTTAGAGTAGCTGCTGTTACAGTATACTGTCACAACTAAATAAATGTTCAAGCCACTTTTACATTATATTGGTATTAATGTTAGTAAAAACTAAAAGAAAAATTTTAACACATCAATTTTAAGTTTAATAAAAAACAAAATTTAAAGTCAAGTTTTAGAGAGAAAATTTAAGCATCTTATAAATCAGTAGAGAGTGTGAGGTCAAGCTGAGTATATTGGAGGTTGTACAGGTGGTGTACACATGATGGATCTGTGGGAAGACCTGGTAAGGTATGGGGGGATCACACAACCCGTGCTTCTTTAATGACTGCCCGCACGACAACTCTTGGTGATGCAAAGCCGGGATGCCAGACGACAAGTTATGGCTTCGTGCACTGACAGAAGCTCACATTCTTAGACACTACTTATGAGAGTATATAAACCAAAACAGCCAGAAGAGTTAACTAAATCTTTTTTTTAAATAATAAGTACTTTTTTAACAGTGAATTTGGAAGATGAATATTACTTGATAAAACTGCTGTAAGTTTCTGTTAAGCAGCCATGACAGCACACAACCACTATAACATTAATTATACACATCTATATGGTGATAAATATGAGCATATATCAATTATTTCAGAGTATAAACTAATGCAAGCTAAAGCCTATGAACAATAATAAGTATTTTTTTAACAAACCAGCCATCTCCCACTGAGGTAGGGTGACCCAAAAAGGAAGAAACACTTTCACTATCATTCACCTTATCACTGTCTTGCCAGAGGCACACTGATACTAGAGTGCAGATGCCCCTCCAAACTGCAAATATTCCCACCCCTCATTCATAAATATATGGTATAATTTTTAAGCTATTTTGAACGAAGTTAGATTTAAAGCTAATTTTTTATCATGGCCAATTTTAATTAAAATATTGTTATTACTACTGAATGATTTAACAATAAAAAATCAGGTTTTTTTTTATATATTCCATAATTATTATATTAATATTGCACAGTAAATCTGGATTCATTAGTTTCTTGACAGAGATGTAGCAAAGAATGTGCACAATGCAGTATTACAGTTTCTGCAAATGGTTACTGTGTAACCTATATATATAGGTAAGGAAGACTCAGGTAGACCAAGACAGACACAGGCCAGGGCAAGGCCCTAGCCATGTGGTCACTCTTACAGGTATTGGTCACAACTAATATAAGTGACAAAGCAACACTTGCATCATTCACAATAACAAAAACTTACAGCCAGCTTATATTAATGATAAAATATCTCATATAGCAACTATCAAACATTATGGAGTAACTACCTATAAACAAATATTCAGTATGTCCAACAATGCTTGAAAAAGTTTATAAAAGTTACTTTAGATTAATCAGTAATTTCCTCCTCCTTGTAAACTTTGTAATTTAAGGCAGAGAGAGGGGTTAAACTCTTTTAATAATAACGACACAAGTATAGAGCCTCAAAAAAATTTTATACTGATTTATGTGTTACATGATACATACAAAAAAGACATTTTCTTGGGAAAACTCTTTGTTTTTTTCTATTCTGGCTGTGAACCTCATATTAAGCAGTGACTAAGTAGGTCACATCTCATCTGCCCATAATATTTGTGAGAGAACTTACTTCAATAATAACTAGTCGAGGTCTTACTTGTTCAAGGTTATCAGCTATTGCAATGAATTCCTGCACGAGCACATGCCGGCTCTCTACTACACGCAGGAATTCCTAGAGAAATCAGATAATTATATTAGTAATACAATATTAAAACAATCCAACAAAGTACCTTGTAGATATTCTGATTATCATTAATCCTAACCTACTAAATTATAACACACTCACTAATGTAACAGCTTAAAACACTCATGCTATGTCATATTATTGTAGCCCACTAATTATAAAACAAATGTCATAAATATATTTGATCAATTAAAGCATATCTACTGATTACTACAGTATAGCCATTCAGAGGATATTCAAATAAATATTGTGCAATTAATTAAAAACTTAATCAGCATACTAAAGTTGAAGATGTTAAGAAACCAATTACAGCCTCTCACACAAATAACCCACAAATAGAAGAGAGGAGCTTACGACGACATTTCAGTCCGACTTGGACTATTTACAAAGTCACACTAATGAAAAGGAGAGAGGGAGGGGTATATATCGCCAGGAGGTGGTAGTAGTAATAGTAGAATTTATCATTCTAAACTACAGAATAAACTTCAATGTCTCATCTCAGATAGCCCTTGGTCTAAATTCTCCCTTACTGACTGTGTTACTAACCTGTCTTCTGTCTCACTCTCTCAACATGAGCTTGAACTTCTTGGTTTTAGTCTTTCCTTTGCCACTTCACCTGCCCCTCACGCTGATATTGTCCTAATCAGCTCTTCTGATTCTTTTCGTCAGTCTTGCTCCCGTAATCTTCGTGACTTGCCCACTTTTCGTGGCGACTCTCCTTCCTGCTCTTGATAGTCTGTTTTCTAAGAACCACCACCCTCCACGCCATTACCAGCTTACCCTTTCTTCTCTTAAATCCAACACTAACATTATCATACTATCTTCTGATAAAGGTAATTCGGTAGTTATCCTTGATAATGAGGATTACCTCCGTAAAGCTGATGTCTTCCTCTCTGACTCACGTACCTACACTCCTCTCGTTTCCAACCCTCTTGATCGCATCAAGAGAACTTTCAACAAAAAACTACGGACTCTCTCCGACCTCTGTCCTCCTGACTTTGACCTTGTTCAACGTTTTCGTGTCGTCTGCCCCTTTCTGCCCTATTTCTATGGCCTTCCCAAAACTCATAAGCCTGATATTCCTCTACATCCTATCATATCCTCTAGAGGTTCTGTCTCTTATTCTCTTGCTTCTTGGCTGGCCAAAACCCTCACTCCCTTTCTTGGTACCTTTTCTCCTGCCCACCTCCATCACTCGCAAGACTTCACTGAATGGGTTCCCTCTCTCCCGACCTGTAAGATGCTTAGTCCTGACGTTGAGTCCCTCTTCACCAATGTCCCTCTTGATGATGTCCTTGATTTTCTTAGAGAGAAGGCCAATGAAGGGTTTCTTCATCTCCATATACCTACTGATGTCTTTTTTTATCTTATCCGCCTCTGTGTGGACTCTAATTCCTTTTCCTTCCAAGGGAAATACTATTCTCAAACCTTTGGTGTCACTATGGGCTCTCCTCTTTCTCCTGTCCTTGCTAATCTTTACCTGGAATACTTCAAGACTGTCCTTCTTCCTACTATTGATGTGCACCCTTCACTCTGGCTCTGCTATGTAGATGAGAACTTGGCTCTGTGGCCTCATGACTCTAGTCTCTTCCAACCATTTCTTGATGCTCTTAATCTTGCCCCTTCCATTAAGTTTAAAACTCAATGGGAATCTAATTCCTTGCTTCCTTTCCTTTCCTTGATGTCCATGTCCACCGCTCAGATACAGGTTTTGCCTTTTCCGTTTACCACAAGCCTATGCGCAGTGGCATGTACATTCACTACTTTTCTTATCATGCTTCCTCTGTCAAGAAAAGTGTTCTTATCTCCCTCTTTCTCTGTGCCCTCCGCATTTGTGATCCTCAGTTCCTTCAATCAGAAATTTCCAATCTGCAAAATTCATTTTCCCATCTTGGCTACCCTTCCCATTTCATAGACTCTGCCTTCTCACATGCTAAACGTAATTTCTTCTCTCCCAAACTCTCTACTCCTGGGAACTCTTCTGTCCTCTGCCTTCCCTACATTTCCAGTCTTTCTAATCTCAACAACTCTCTCAGTTCCTCAGACATCACACTTACTTTCCGCCAGACTAACACTCATCGCACTAATCTTGTTCATACCTCTCCTCCCTCTACAGATGCTGCTGGTGTCTACTCTATTTCTTGTTCCTCCTGTCCTCTCCAATACTTTGGAGAAACTGGCCCATCTCTTTCTGACAGACTCAGGGAGCACAAAAATAGTGTTAGGCTTGCCGACACTAATAATGCTCTTTTCTGTCACGTCAGAGATCACATCCATCCTATTGACTGGTCTTCTGCTAAAACTGTCTTCCCTACTTCCAACTTCAACAGTCACCATCTGGTTGAATCCTCCCCAATACACAACTTTCCTTGTATGAATCTTAGTCCTGGCTTCATCTCTGCAGATGCCTTCCTTTCCCACTACATTGTAAAATGCTCCAAACTTCAGAACACCCATGACTTAACCTGATTCCTCCTTTTTCTTCTTCTCCCTCTTCCCCTTTCCTCTTTCCTTTTTCTCCTTTGGGTTGTCTTTCTGCCTTGTGTATTTATTCCTTCTTTATTTATTTATTTATTCCCCCCCCCTCTGTGTTTTTGCTCTTACCCTCTGTGGGCACCTGGCTCCCTTGTAGTGCTCCTCTTTCTTAGTATTTGACTGGCTCCTCCTCCTCCTTATTACCTCCCCTACTACTACTACTACTACTACTGCTGCTGCTGCTGCTGCTGCTGCAGGTGGCGCGGCGGCTGCGGCGGCTGCTGCGGCTGCTGCGGCGGCTGCTGCTGCGGCGGCTGCTGCTGCTGCTGCCGCTGCTGCTGCCGCTGCTGCTGCCGCTGCTGCTGCCGCTGCTGCTGCCGCTGCTGCTGCCACCGCCGTCTCTCTCCTTTTCATTAGTGTGACTTTGTAAATGGTCCAAGTCGGACTGAAATGTCGTCCTAAGCTCCTCTCTTCAATGTGCGGGTTATTTGTGTATCATTCCAGTCACGGTATTGTGCCTTTTTTTGTTATTTACAGCCTCTCCTCACTTAATGATGGAGTTCCATTCCTAAGACCACAACGGTACATGAATTCATGTTTAAGTGAAGAGCATACTATAATGGTAGTGGGTTTGTGTCAACCATCTTTGATATTGTTTTAATGTCACCTTTACACCATTTATAACATTTCTGGTATATTTTTAAATGTTTATACAGTAGTGTACTGTTTATTGTAATAAACAGAATAGAGGAAATCAGATCTAATATACATTATTTAGGTATGCAAATTGGTCAGAGAGCCCATCGTAAGTCCAAGGCATCGGTAAATGAGTACATCACTAAGTGAGGAGAGGCTGTAGTTCCTATATATGTAACTATCAACTTACAACAAAAATTATGAACCTGGCATACATGATACCTTAACATATCAGTATTTTAGAAATTATGACTTTTTTATATTTAGGTAAAAGCACTAGGGTGGATAAGGAAGCAATGTGGTAGATACTGCAAGTGTATGGAATAGGTGGCATTTTTCTGAATGCTGTTAAAGAGCTTTTTGAGGACAATGAGGCTCAGGTTAGAATATGTAGAAGAGAGGGAGATTATCTTCCAGTAAAAGTAGGCCTTAGACAGATGTTTGATGTTACTATGGATATTTAATATACGTGTATAGTTGGGATTGTAACAGAAGTGAATGTTAGGGTACTGGAGAGAGGTGTGGGTTTAAAATAGGCAGAATCTAACCATACCATGGACAGGAAAGGACCATGCTGTCAGAGCATCTTAAAACTCCAGACCAACTTGTTAACCACTGAGCCAGCTGGCTACAATAGATTCATCCAACTAGGTATATTTATACACCACAGGAAGGTTAGCATAGGCACCACTGTGACCACAAATGCAAGTTTTTACAGACGAATCTCCGCCAGCGTGGCCGTGACAAACTGTAGCTCAAGTCTCCTTAAAGCAACATTGTAAAACACAAGAAAAGAATTCACAAACCTCAATAAAGACTACAGAATATTTTTTCTCTCTCTTTCTCTAAGCCTATACATGCATTTTTCTTCTAGGTCTGCACACTCTATGGGATAAGTAGTATTATTCATCATAGCATAAAATATTGATAATGAACACCGAAAATTTTTAATACCTCAGTATTGCATCCCAATTACTCATGCTTCTTACTGTACATTATCATACTGTACTCCCATATTAAGTAGCTAATGCATGCTGAATCAATCAACTTACCTAAGCAAACGTCACCCCTAATAACTAATCAATGGGAGATCCTGAGAACACTAGTCACTATAGAATTCAACTAGAAGCACTGCAATGACATACATTCCTTTCAAAGTTGCAACCTGACATTCTACATGGTTATATGTAGTGTTGTTGGCAGGAGACATGTATCTAGTATTGTTGGAAAACATGTATTAACCTTTTCAGGGTCTAGAGGCCAGATTTCAAAGTGCACACCAGGGTCCAAGTATTTTCAAAAAATAATTTTGTTATTTTTTCTTATGAAATGGTAGAGAATCTTTTTCTGAAGGTAATAAAACAAAAAGTACAAAATTTGATGGAAAATTTACGAAATTATGCCCTCGCAAATTTTGATGTGTCGGCGATATTCATGCATTGGCGATTTTGCCGACTTTGACTCCAATTTTTGGCCAATTACAGTATTCCAGTCAACCAAATTCTTAGCTATTTCACTAGTATTACTTCTATTCTATCGATGGAGCACAAGAAATCACCAAGTCAACTGTTTCAACAACAAAATAAAGTGATTGGAAATTGGTAATTTGGCCAATTTAATTCAAAGTTCAAAATATTCCAATTTCAAAATAGGATTCGGAATAAACAATGCAGACATTCCTGGCACTAAACTAACATTTCCTCTGTTCATTAGTTACGTTTTCAGGCTTTACAAATGAGTTCCATTTTGATTTTTTAATCACATAATAAATTTTTATTCAAACCAAAAAATAGAAGATTTTTTGTATTGCAATACTGTAATAATTGTATAAATAATATCAGCACATTTGTGAACGTATATTAGACCCACCAGCTGTCATGTATTAGACTTGTGAGGTCATTTGTTTACTCTTGAACATCGGCAAAAATTTAACATTTCTGCTACTTTGAGCTCAGTTTCAAGCCATTTCCAGTACTAAAACCAATCAAAATCATCTCTATTTCTGTAGTATATCTTCCATTCTATCAATAAGGACCAAGAAATTGCAAATACAACTATAAAAAATATACGAAAAAACACTGCAAAGTCGCTGTTTTAAACGAAAATTATGGTCTCAGTTTTTTTTTCTCTCATTATGCACTGTGTGCTGCAGGATTTGTTTTATGTGGTGCACATTGATCACATAGATGTATTCTCTCATATCTAGGCCCAAATTTACTGTTCACAGCTTATCAGAGTGAGCTGAGCTCATGGCGTAGATCTACAGTTTGGACCTGGAACGTAAAGCCGTAGATCTATGGCACGGACACTGAAAGGGTTAAGAATCAGGTGCAGAACAGCTAATGAGGGTCATCATCCATAAGGTGAACACACATATACACACCATAGTTAATAAACATACACCATGTTTACTGCTGCACATTCTGACTTTAATTAATTCCCAACTTGGCGCAAAGATCTTCAATCAAAGCTCAAAGAGGATGTATTCCATGAATCACTCTAGTTCATCAATTATGTCTAAAGGGGGATAAATATCTCAGCTAAAACAAAAAGTAATGAACAAAAAAAAAAAAAAAAAAAAAAAAGAGATGTAAATATACAGTGGTACCTCGAGTTTCGAACAGTTCCCAACTCAAACAATTATGTAAGTGTATTTTTGTAAGTGCTTTTGTAAGTGTATTTTTGGGGGGTCTGAAACAGACTAATCAAATTTACATTATTCCTTATGGGAACAAATTCGTTCGGTATAATCACTCAAACAGCCTTCTGGAACGAATTAAGTTCATAACTCAAGGTACCACTGTAATAGAATTTGTACTGTGGCTGACATATAATGGTTTTAGTGGGTTTTAATTATTGGAGAATTTGTTAAAAGGCTGATATTTTTTATGACTTCAAAGAGGTCACTCATAAACATAGTGGCAAGACACACCTGGTAGCGTTCAAGCTGCTCTGTCTTCTCCTGAAGAGAGTTCTTGGGTCCATAATTTTTAAGTGTTGCTTCAGAGTCATTAAGCCAGGAGATGATTCGGTCAAAGGTGCCCTCATATTCGGTCCATTGCTGGAGTCGCTCTTCCAAGCCATGCTTAACATCAGCCAAAGTGCTGGCAAACTTGGCCAGTTCATACCTACATCACAAAAGGAATATAAATTAACAATGTTTTTATTTTAATTCTGACTGCATTTATTTATGTACAGAATAATTTTTCCTTTCAAGTGTTGCTTTAACACACTGGCCACTTCCCACCAAGGCAGGGTGAACAAAAAGAAGGAAACACATTCACCATCCTTCATTCAATAGCTGTCATCCCAGAAGTGTGTAGGCATGACAATTCAGATGGCCCTCTGAGTTACAACATTCCTCCCTCTCCTTCAGAGTGCTGGCACTGTACTTCTCACTTCCTGGACTCAAAACTGGCTAATGGGTTTCTCTGAATTCCTTATAAATGTTACCTTGCTCACACTCCAACATGTTAAGGGAGCGCTCAGGTTCACGCGCGCGGAGCAAAAAAAAATTCGAAAGAATATGAAAATGGAGTTATTGTTACCAAAAAATAGCTGAACTTTCTGGCTACACTCTGGTATAATTATTATCCTTGTACGATGTTTCTAAAAGGAATTACAGCCATTTATAACAGGCATGGTGACAGTGCTGACGCGTCATATTGCGTAAGAAGCGCTGACTCGGCTTTGTTTACGTTTTTTCCCCGTGTTATTTTTATCGTTTTCTTATATCTTTATGTCTAATATAATACAAATTCACTGTCTGAGATCATGCCCGAGCGGGCGGAGCTAATATGGTCAAGTAACCAGTCAGGTACCCTGGGTATAGTACCCAAAATGGCCGACACCTCCAGCCAACAAAATATTCCATAAATATTCCATACCCACGCTAATATCAATTATAAGGCTTATTTATCTATCACAATTGATCTATTATGACATAATGCAATATAATAATAGCATATAAACATAAAAAGCACACCGTAAAAAATAATATATAGTATAATATGATGCCCAAGAGGGAAAAATTTCTATCGGTGTATCCCCTGAAGTTTCGTATCTCTTACAAGTGATGAGAGAAAACGGATTTACAATGGTTAACTGTAATAAACACTCGTAGGTCACGCAAAAAGTGTAAAATAAAGCGAATTTTTCGGGGAAAAAATTATTTCCCGGGCAGCTGGGGTGCCGCGCGCTTCGGCCTATATCTCGAAAGTAACTTATTTACCTATTTAGGGGCAATCCATCTTTATTTATGATTGAATTGACTTGATTTTCACAACAAACATAGGAGAATGATTGCTTTACAAGGTGGAGTGTACCTTTCTGAACTATCCCAAATATTTTTAGATTTATGTGGGCAACAAGACCGACATCTTCCAATATGTCAAAAAAGTTATGAAACTTATTTTTTTTTAACATGAAGATAAGGTTTATTTTAGAATAGGTACACTTACAGTGATGGAATTAGAGGTGTTCTATCAGCAGCAAGTGTCAAAACCACTTTTCCAAGTACCAATGAGAAGGACTCCCCTGCCAAATGCAATTTTTCGTAAATTTTGCATATTTCATTTCCTTTTTGGCTGATATGATTGAAACTTCAGCACAGGATATTTGATATAAGCTTCTAATAGTACACCAAAAATGAACATAATCGGTTGAAAAATAAAGAAGTCGATATGTTTTAAAAATTCAAAATGCCCAAACTACTGCAACTACCCCTTCTCAGCCCTTCTGAGGTTACATCTGGGATAACCTCAAACTATCTTTGATTTTTTATGCTCCAAATTCTCTGCATAATATTCACAACTGATCTGTAGAAAGAAAATCCCCAAAAAGAAAATACTTTTATCATCATTCAACACTTTCACCTCACTCACACATAATCACTGTTTTTGCAGAGGTGCTCAGAATACAACAGTTTAGAAGCATATACATACGTATAAAGATACACAACATATCCCTCCAAACTGCCAATATTCCAAACCCCTCCTTTAAAGTGCAGCCATTGCACTTCCCATTTCCAGGACTCAAGTCTGTCTATATAAAAATAACCGGAATTCCTCTATATTTTTTTACAATCTCTTTTATCCCCTTCCCTTTATATAAAGGGACTATACATGCTCTCTGCCAATCTCTAGGTACCTTCCCCTCTTTCATACATTCATTAAACAAAAATATCAACCACTCCAACACTATATCCCCCCCTGCTTTTAACATTTCTGTCATGATCCCATCAGTTCCAGCTGCTTTACCCCCTTGCATTCTATGTAATGCCTCACGCATCTCCCCCACACTCACATCCTGTTCTTCTTCACTCCTAAAAGATGATATACCTCCCTGGCTAGTGCATGAAATTACCGCCTCCCTTTCTCCGTCGACATTTAAAAGTTCCTCAAAATATTCTCGCCCACCTTTGCGGATGACACCCGGATCACCATGGCAGTGACCTCCATCAAAGACACTGCGAGACTCCAAGCGGACATCAACTAAATCTTTGAATGAGCCACTTAAAACAATATGAAGTTCGACGAAGAGAAATTTCAACTACTCAGATGTGGAAAACTTGAAGAAATTAAAAATGTGTCAGGGTATACCATAAATTTTAACCATACAATAGAGCGGAAAAGTAATGTGAAGGACCTGGGAGTGATAATGTCAGAGAATCTCGCCTTCAAAGACCACAACAATGTACCTACCTCATCCGCTAGGAAAATGATAGGATGGATAATGAGAACCTTCAAAACTAGGGACGCCAAGCCCATGATGATTCTCTTCAAATCGCTTGTGCTCTCTAGGCTGGAATACTGCTGTACACTAACAGCCCCCTTCAAGGCTGGCAACATTGTGGACCTGGAGAGTGTACAAAGAACTTTCACGGCACTCATAAGTGTGATAAGGCACCTAAACTACTGGGAATGGTTGAAGGTCCTTGATCTGTATTCCCTCGAACGCAGGCAAGAGAGATACATGATAATTTACACTTGGAAGGTCCTGGAGGGATTGGTACCAAACTTGCACACAAAAATCACTCCATATGAAAGCAAAAGACTCGGCAGGAGATGCAACATTCCCCCGATGACAAGCAGGGATGCCATGAGTACACTGAGAGACAACACAGTAAGTGTCTGGGGCCCAAGACTGTTCAATTGCCTCCCAGCATACATAAGGGGGATTACCAATAGACCCTTGGCTGTCTTCAAGAAGGCACTGGACAAACGGGCTGTGGTTTGTACGTCAGCTTGCGTGCAGCCAGCAGTAACAGCCTGGTTGATCAGACCCTGATCCACCATGAGGCCTGGTCTCAGACCGGGCTGCGGGGGCATTGACCCCTGAAACCCTCTCCAGGTAAACTCCAGGTATCTACCCAATACCTCCATCTCCCCATCTACTAACTCCCCTACTCTGTTTTTAACTGACAAATCCATTCATTCCCTAGGCTTTCTTAACTTGTTTAACTCACTCCAAAATTTTATCTTATTTTCATTAAAATTTCTTGACAGTGCCTCTCCCACTCTATCATCTGCCCTCCTTTTACACTCTCTCACCACTCTCTTCACCTTTCTTTCACTCTCCATATACTCTACTCTTCTTATAACACTTCTGCTTTGTAAAAACCTCTCATAAGCTAACTTTTTCTCTTTTATCACACCCTTTACTTCATCATTCCACCAATCACTCCTCTTTCCTCCTGCACCCACCCTCCTATAACCACAAACTTCTGCCCCACATTATAATACTGCATTTTTAAAACTATTCCAACCCTCTTCAACCCCCCCCCCATCCCCACTGCTCATACTTGCACCAGCCCACCTTTCTGCCAATAGTTGCTTATATCTCACCCTAACTTCCACCTCCCTTAGTTTATACACTTTCACCTCCCTCTTACTTGTTGTTGCCATTTTCCTCTTGTCCAATCTACCTCTTACTCTAACTGTAGCTACAACTAAATAATGATCCGATATATCAGTTGCCCCTCTATAAATGTGTACATCCTGGAGCCTACCCATCAACCTTTTATCCACCAATACATAATCTAACAAACTACTTTCATTACATGCTATATCATACCTTGTATATTTATTTATCCTCTTTTTCATAAAATATATATTACTTATTACCAAACCTCTTTCTACACATAGCTCAATTAAAGGCTCCCCATTTTCATTTACCCCTGCCACCCCAAATTTACCTACTACTCCCTCCATAACATTTTTACCCACTTTAGCATTGAAATCCCCAACCACAAGTACTCTCACACTTGGTTCAAAACTCCCCTTCTCCAGGTGCATATACACTTACTATAACCCACTTTTCACATCCAACCTTTATTTTACTCCACACAATCCTTGAATTAATACATTTATAGTCCCTCTTTTCCTGCCATAGCTTATCCTTCAACATTATTGCTACTCCTTCTTTAGCTCTAACTATTTGAAACCCCTGACCTAATCCCATTTATTCCTCTCCACTGAAACTCTCCCACCCCCTTCACCTTTGTTTCACTTAAAGCCAAGATATCCAGCTTCTTCTCATTCGTAACATCCACAATCATGTCTTTCTTATCATTCGCACAACATCCAAACACACTCAGACATCCCACTTTGACAATTTTCTTCTTATACTTTTTAGTAATTATTATGGCTACTGAATCCAAAGAATTTAAACTTACTTCATATTGTTGATCTCCCGCTCCAGTGTCTCCTTGGCTCGGGCTGGCAACTTCTCCAGTAACTGATGAGCATGCGAACTGATCTGAGCAATCATGTTCCTTCCATCACATTTGGCATCTTCAAGCTCAGCTATGTGGTCCAGTCGCTGCTGCAGCAGAGCCTTATTGCCAGAATAATCTATAGAAAACACCAGATAAAAGTCAGGAAGACCATCCCTGAATGATGTAAGTCATTACATTTTACTATTCATCCATACATCACTTTCAAAGTACGTATCAAAGGGCTCCTACTCGAAATCTGAGTCTCATTTGAGAGTTTATAATGATTTTGTTAAATCTTGATCCTAAATTTCACTTTATGTCTATGAAGGGATGAAAACATGACCCAAACTTCCCTATTTCCCACATTCTCACAAATGAACCAGAACAGAGCAACAATCATGTAAACCTTTCACTGTTGCAGTCCTCAGAAATTAAAAAGTGCTGACAGCATAGTGATTTTTCTGAAAAAAAAAAAAATCCTCTGAAATGGTAATCTTATTCTAAAGAAAACATATGGAATTATACAGGCAGTCTGGGTGCAATTTACACACTGGCAATTTCACCCAATTCTAGTCCTATTCAACAAATTCCAATTTAAAAGCAGAGTCCAACATAAACACTACATGTATTCTAGCCACTAAAGCATCCTATCTCCTCTTCATTAATCACATACCCCAAGCCTCACTTATATTTCACCTGATCTCCATTTTGAATCTATCACAAAAAAAGTCAAGGTTTTACCTCCATTTCTTAAATTAATAAAATATAACCAAAAATTATTAGTCTTGGTTTAAGGCATACCAATAACTGAAGCAAACCTAGAAAAAAGCATAAAACAAACTGAGGGGGGTGTTAAGGGCCTCACCTTTCCTCAAGAAAATCATCAAAAATTTAATACTTCTACTACTTTCAGTCTTATTTCAAGTTACTTCCAGTCCTGAAACTGACCAAAATCATCTTTTCAGTAGTATGGCTTCCTATCAACTGATACCAAGAAACAGCCATAAAAACAACCAAGAAAACGCTTAAAAATTTATATTTTAAGCTAAACATAAAGTCAGAGGTTGACTTTTCCCATTATGCACCACATGGGGAAGGATTTTTTTTATCATGTGCTCACTGCGAAGACCCATTCTCTCAGGTCTTGACCAAAATTTACCCCACACAGCATATCTGAGGATGCTGTGCTTGAAATGTTACCTACATGACCAACACTGGTATCAATAACATAGATTTACATGAGCAACACTGATATCAGTAATGTAGATCTACACAAGCAACACTGGCAACAGTAACGTAGATCTACACAAGCAACACTGGCAACAGTAACGTAGATCTACACAAGCAACACTGGCAACAGTAACGTAGATCTACATGAAAGACAACAAATCATAGGTGCTAGAAGCAGTAGTAGCCAATCAAGGGTCTAAAGTAATAGGACAGAACAAAGTATTTTCAAAGAGTGCTCCACCATGACCTTATTTATGCTGAGGAAGGTAATTAAAGTTTGTGCTTGAGAAGTGACCCCCACCTGTCATGCCCAAAAATATAATAATCCACTTCTGCTTACCCCGTATTCATGTATCCAGGAAATTGATGTATCTAATACACTGAAACTTTGTCTAAAAAAATAGTCTCTATCATATACTGTTTTTGGTATATGTAAATCTGAAAATGAATTGCTTACAGTTCATGAAGTTTCAAGTGGACGGTTCGTCAATTTATTAGATTTAAAGCCTATCAACTATAAAGAGGGTCATTAAGGCTACATGTCACCTGTACCCCACTAGTCAAGGATATATTAATTCCTGAATTTGAGACCCTAGTAGGAATTCACAAAGCTTTTATTTTAATGCCTGTGCAGTGAGCTCCCCTTGGTAACCTGTGAGGATTGTTCATTATACCAGTGTTTTGTTGTACTGGTATTTGAGGAGTTTAATGCAGATGCACAAAAAATTTCACGAGTTTAAAAATATATATGACTTTCAAAGGACGAAACCTAAAAAATCATCATAATCTATGCCGCACCTTATATACTGCGTAAATTTTTGTACTTAGAATGCATCATTCAGGGAAATATAACGTACTTTTTGCTTTGATTTTCCGGTATTATTACAAATAATAAGAGTGATTTATTACCTGTGTATGAATGCAGTTTCTCCCACATGTCTTTCTGCCACTCAGCATGTGATGCAGAAAGATCTTGATGAGTACTGAGGTTGTCAATCATCCATTCTAGATCCTCAATATTCTTCTTGGTGTTTAAAGCAAGTTTCTCATGCCGATGCTGGACTTCTTCCATTGCTGACATCACATCCTTATTGCTCGGTGATGCTTGAAGTAAATAGCCAGCTCGCTCCTTCACAGCATCCAAAACACGTTTGTGTGAGGTAATATCTTGCAGTGTTGTCTGTATAAAATAAAAATAAATAAATAAATACAATTCTTAATTTCAATGTTCACTAATTTAGCACATTTCTTTAGCATGTAAATACAGTGGACCCCCGGTTAACGATATTTTTTCACTCCAGAAGTATGTTCAGGTGCCAGTACTGACCGAATTTGTTCCCATAAGAAATATTGTGAAGTAGATTAGTCCATTTCAGACCCCCAAACATACATGTACAAACTCACTCACATAAATACACTTACATAATTGGTCGCATTCGGAGGTAATCGTTATGCGGGGGTCCACTGTATTATATTCCAACTCAGATTATATACAAAAGAAAATAACACTAACCTTAAGCTTTAATAACCTAGAACGAAGTTCCTGCAATGATAGCCAATTGGATGGATCTACAACAATAGTCTTTTCCATATTATCCAACCAATTGCGTGCAGCTTGTGTACTGTCCGAAAAGGAAGACCATTGCAGGGTCTGAGCTTCCTGTTTGCGTTGCTGCTCCACAATGGAGCCTTCTAATCTCTCCCAATTTTCACGCATTGTCCTTAAATCCTGACGAAGCTTCTCACGGCCCACTGTAGCAGTATCAGGGTAAAGCCTCTCACCAATGGTTGTGGTGGATCCCAGACGATGTGGTGCCTGCTCACGCTCACTAAGCAAGAATTGCAGTAAATTCTCTTTCTTTTCTGGGTCCTGTTCATTCAGAAGATCATGAAGGGACTGCTCCATGGTGCTCAGCCATTTGTTGTTTTCCTCAAACTTTTCATCATAGCTCTCATGATCAGCAAGAACTCCTCTCCACTTTGTAACAGCTTCCTTTGTAAGGACATGGAGGCTCTGATAGCGGTTACTTAACTGAGTGATAAGAGGTTTGAGACGATCTACACTAGAGACACGCACGAGAGCATGACCTTGATCAACAAAAACATCAATCTCTCGCTCATAACGTACAACCTCTTCTCGTTTCTGTGTCAGGACCTCAATACGTCGTCGTTTCTCATGTAGGGAGGCACACAGCTGCTGATCTTTGAAGAAAGATTCCAACTCTCGACACCAGGCTGAATGGCATTCAAGATCTTCTTCAAACTGGCTCCATTGTTGTATAGTGCTGTTCAAGTTCTCACGTACATCACCTAAGTTAAGACCATGTGAAAAAAATAATTTACAAAATGAAAAACACACTTCTGCAAAACCTAGCCTAAGTTCATACAAATGTATAAAATGGTACCACAATAACTAAATTACATATAAGGATTTAACAAATGCTCAAAAAGATGTGAACCTTAAGTCAAAACGTGGATTACACATAATGAACATTTACAATGAAATTATTGTCTTTTATATAAATAATAAACAGCATATATTTAACAATTCTTACCAACAGTGGCAATATGTAGATTCCAGGCATCCTCCATGGAAGTAATTGTGGCTCTGAGAGCCTTGCCACCACGCTCTGAGGTGCTTAGAGCCACTTTCTCTCCCAGGGTTCGCAGCTCCAGCAGTTTCTTATCACCCAGACCATGAACTGTGTCTAGATCCTAAGGAGGGATGGATGTTCAACACAACATTAGCAAGCAGTGTTGCAATTTTAAAAGTCCTTAATATTGATTCCTCTCCAGGTGCATATACGCTTACTATAACCCACTTTTCACATCCAACCTTTATTTTACTCCACATAATCCTTGAATTAATACATTTATAGTCCCTCTTTTCCTGCCATAACTTATCCTTCAACATTATTGCTACTCCTTCTTTAGCTCTAACTCTATTTGAAACCGCTGACCTAATCCCATTTATTCCTCTCCACTGAAACTCTCCCATCCCCTTCAGCTTTGTTTCACTTAAAGCCAGGACATCCAGCTTCTTCTCATTCATAACATCCACAATCATCTCTTTATCATTTGCACAACATCCATGCTTAGTTAATCTTAAGTTAATTTTAAGCCTGCCCATAATGCTCTGCATACAAGGGGCTTTGGCATGTTGCACTGTAATAACTGTATTCCTTTGTACTTCACTGTATCATGTTCAAATTAATAAATAAATAAATAAATAAATTCAGACTTCCCACTCTGACAATTTTCTTCTTATTCTTTTTAGTAATTATTACAGGAAAAGGGGTTACTAGCCCATTGTTCCCAGCATATATATATATATATATATATATATATATTATATATATATATATATATATATATATATATATATATATATATATATATATATTACTGTTTTAGAATGTGAATACAGAACATTTTTACATATAAATCCATATAGATTATATACTATGGTGTACATCAAAACTATGCAGGGTTTCTCTCTCAAGGGTATAGTGCAACTTGCAATCTGCATTCCATTATATCTTCTAAACAGAATGCTAAGGTGTACACATACTTGTCACGTTTTATAACACCTGTGTTCTCAGTCTGCTGACATGAAGAGGGAGCATGCATAAGGGTAGCAAATGTAACTCAAAGTGGAGTCTTCCATTCACTTTTCATAAGAAATTATGCAAGTTAATCAAATCTGATATATTTCGTACTGTATCTAATTATTGTAATAAATTTGTATCGGCTTGACAAAGCTCCTGGAGAGCAAAACGTTGCCAAAATAAAATGTCATATTAGTTGCACTTGTGTCCTTTTACTTTACAATAAATTTATATTATTTTTTATTTTATTATCACACTGGCCGATTCCCACCAAGGCAGGGTGGCCCGAAAAAGAAAAACTTTCACCATCATTCACTCCATCACTGTCTTGCCAGAAGGGTGCTTTACACTACAGTTTTTAAACTGCAACATTAACACCCCTCCTTCAGGCACAAAATTTTATGTCTGAAATAACTGTGAAGGGGCCTTCACTTTATTTACTGTACAGGTTTCAAAGCAAAGCTTGTAATTGTTCAATCAACTAATTCTGAAATGCTATTTCTAAGATTTATCTCTATGACATGCCACTCTACTCTCAACAATAAAAATACAACAGACAACTGAAACTGAGGATAACTGTAATATTAATGAGTTTCTAAAATTATCATTGAAATGCACAGACACCTCACACAATTTACATGCAGAAGCTTCAGACATAATACTGGGATAAATATATATATACTGTAAAGTGTTTGTTTTTGAGGGAGAAAAAAAAAACCACACTGTCCACATATTCAACAGTGTCAATCATGCATCAAATGTAATCCTGTTAAAGGTTTCTGGCTGCACTTTCAGACTTTCCTTGACTACTCTTTAAGACTACCAACACCCTTAGCTGCTCTTTGATACCCCTTAACTACCCTGAGACCACCCCACATTTCAATGCTCTTTGATATCCCCTACCCTTTAACAGCCCTTTGATACCATCCTTGGCTACCCTTGAGCCCTTTTCTCAGTCTAATTTCTGCCGAAATGAATGTGCTCCATATTATATTTTATGCAAATACTGTGCTGTAGTGTAGCTAGGTCAGGAAGATATATTCTCAATTTATAAAGCAATGCTGTTCATTCAACCTCATAGGTGCTTTATTTCATCTAGTTCTATCTACAGTACAATGGTACCTCGGGATACGAACAGCTCAAAATTCAAACAATTATGTAAGTGTATTTAAGTAAGTGCTTTTGTAAGTGTATTTTTGGGGGTCTGAAATGGATTAATCTAATTTACATTATTCCTTATGGGAACAAATTTGTTCGGTATCGGCACTCGAACAGCCTAGTGGAACGAATTAATTTCGTATCCCGAGGTACCACTGTACTTTTACTAATATAGGTAGTATGTTGCGGCAAAGCTGTCCAGTGCAAGTATTCAGAGAACAAATTGTCTTCATTGTTCTCCTGAGAAACAGTCCAAAAAACAACCCAGCTTCCCAAGATGCTTATTGGGTTAAGCTTTTCTTAGGGAGCATAATATTTTATTGACATATCAGTGAGTGCATACATTTATCACTTCTCAAAAACACATCCATCAGTTGTTTATCTTCATTATTTTGAAAGAGCTTTCCATTTCCTTTTGAAATATTTAGTGGGGAAGCCTAAATGCACAAGCTGAAATTACAGTACTGTCAAAATAAGACTTAAGGTATTCCTGAGCTAAAACATATGGAAAAATCAAGGTGAGTTTACCTGTAAACAAAATGAAGTAGATGATACTGAATAAAATAACCATGTGAAACTACCTACGATTTTGTTTGCATTGATGGTTAAACACTCTCACACATGGAGTCTCATATCTTTAATCATAATGAATTAGACACACGTACAACATCTGGGTGTTTTTATTTTATAAACCAGCCAACCAGTGGCTTTGTCAATACAAAAATAACAAAAAAAGGCACAATACCGTGACTGGAACGATACACAAATAACCCGCATAAAAAAGAGAGAAGCTTACGACGCCGTTTCGGTCCGACTTGGATCATTTACAAAGTCACACTAACCAGAAGTGGAGCAGGAGGGCTATATATAGGCAGAAAGAGGTGGTGGTAGTAGTAGTAGTACAAGAATGGTATATAATACCGACAAGATGAAATTAAGACACATGCGCAACACCCGGGCATCCCTATCATAGACGTTTCGCCATCCAGCCAGCCACTGGATGGCGAAACGTCCACAACAAAGTCAACCAGATGCCGCACATGTGTCTTAATTTCATCAGTACACGTAGTTGTAGTAGTAGTAGTAGTAGAAGAGGTAGTAGTAGTGGTAGTGGTAGAAGTGGGAAATGAGGAGGACGAGCCAGTCAAATACAAAGGAAGGGGAGCACTGCAAGAGAGCTAGGTGCCCACAGAGGGAGAGCAAGCACACAGAGGTGCGTGAAAGGGGAAGTGGTGAAATAAATGAAGAAGGAATAGAAACATGAGACAGAAGAGAGAAAGACAACCTAGAGGAGAAAGGAAAGAGGGAGAAGAAGAAAAAGAAAAAGAAAAAATGAGGAGTGAGGTTAAGTCACGGGTGTTCTGAAGTTGGAGCTTTTTTACAATGTAGTGGGAGAGGAAGGCATCTACAGAGACGAAGCCAGGGCTAAGGTTCATACAAGGAAAGTTGTGTATTAGAGAGGATTCAACTAGACGGCGACTGTTCGAGTTGGAAGTAGGGAAGACAGTTTTAGCAGAAGACCAGTCAATAGGATGGCTATGATCTCTGACATGACAGAAAAGAGCATTGTTAGTGTCGGCAAGCCTAACACTATTTTTGTGCTCCCTAAGTCTGTCAGAAAGAGATCGACCAGTTTCTCCGAAGTATTGAAGAGGACAGGAGGAGCAAGAAATAGAGTAGACACCAGGAACATCTGTAGAGGGAGGAGAGGTATGAACGAGATTAGTGCGAAGAGTGTTAGTCTGGTGGAAGGTAAGCTTGATGTCTAAGGGACGGGAGAGAATGTTGAGATTAGAAAGACCGGAAATGTAGGGAAGGCAGAGGACAGAAGAGTTCCCAGGAGTAGAGAGTTTGGGAGAAAAGAAATTGCGTTTAGCACGTGAGAGGGCAGAGTCTATGAAATGGGAAGGGTAGCCAAGACGGGAAAACGAATTATGAAGAGTGGAAATTCTGCTGGATAGGAACTGAGGATCACAGATGCAGAGGGCACGGAGGAAGAAAGAGGGAGATAAGAACACTTTTCTTGACAGGGAAAGCATGATAGGAAAAGTAGTGAATGTACATGCCACTGTGCATAGGTTTTCAGTAAACGGAAAAGGAAAAACCTGTATCTGAGCAGTGGACATGAACATCAAGGAAAGGAAGCAAGGAATTAGATTCCCATTCAGCTTTAAACTTAATGGAAGGGGCAAGATTATTAAGAGCTTCAAGAAAAGGTTGGAAGAGACTGGAGTCATGAGGCACAGAGCAAAGATGTCATCCACATAGCGGAGCCAGAGTGAAGGTTGCACATCGAGGGTAGGAAGAAGAACAGTCTCGAAGTATTCCATGTAAAGATTAGCAAGGACAGGAGAGAGAGGAGAGCCCATAGCGACACCGAAGGTTTGAGAATAATATTTCCCTTGGAAGGAAGAGGAGTTAGAGTCCACACAGAGGCGGATAAGATCAAGAAAGACATCAGTAGGTATAGGGAGATGAAGAAACCCTTCATGGGCCTTCTCTCTAAGGAAATCAAGGACATCATCAAGAGGGGCATTGGTGAAGAGGGACTCAACGTCTAGACTAAGCATCTTACAGGTTGGGAGAGAGCGAACCCGTTCAATGAAGTCTTGAGAGTGACGGAGGTGGGCAGGAGAAAAAGTACCAAGAAAGGGAGTGAGGGTTTTGGCAAGCCAAGAAGCAAGAGAATAAGAGACAGAACCTCTAGAGGATATGATAGGACGAAGAGGAATATCAGGTTTATGAGTTTTGGGAAGGCCATAGAAATAGGGAAGAGAGGGACAGATGACATGAAACCGTTGAACAAGGTCAAAGTCAGGAGGACAGAGGTCGGAGAGAGTCCTTAGTTTTTTGTTGAAAGTTCTCTTGATGCGATCAAGAGGGTTGGAAATGAGAGGAGTGTAGATACGCGAGTCAGAGAGCAAGACATCAGCTTTACGGAGGTAATCC